TGACAGACAGACAGAGGGACAGCTAGACGGACAGACAAATAGGCAGACGGACGGACAGACTCAGAGGAAACCTATAGTCTATAGTATATATTCTGTAGCAAATATAGTATATAGTCTGTAGCAAACCTATAGTATGTAGTTTATAGCTTTAGTATAAGAAATATTTTTTTCTTGGTCTAATATTTTTTTTAAATTTTCTTTATATCGCAAAGTTATGCTTAAGCATTGTCTTATTTACTTCTTAAATAATTTGCAAAGTGAAACGAGTGCAATAAATATTCAACAACATAATAAAATAGTTTAGCTAAAGCATTGAAACTTTTTATTGGCAATGCATATATTAATTTATGCAATTTCAGCAATTTTGAATGATCCTGACAGAAAAAAAAATATTCATTATGTTGAGCTCATGCTTCAACCAATTTATATATTGGCATTCTGAAAGACTGAAACCATGGGCGCCTGTCTAGTTTTAAGACAGTGATGTAAAAATTACACAGGACGTAAAGAAAAAATCCAGAATATTAAAGATTGCAAAAAGAGATTGTTATTGATTTGCACTGAGAATGCATTTTTTTGTTTTGTATTTAAAGAATTTACTTTGTAAAGGAGTTTATTGCAAAATGCCTACAAATTCTTTCTTTGTACTAAATGTTTTCTTGACACACTGTATTGTCTACGGATTTACCCGTATTCTTCCCGATCATGACAAGGAGCACACGGCGGGTGTGATGGTCAGCAGGGGATGTTCACTCTTCCATGGCAACTGATCCCACCTCTGATGTGTTCGGAGGTGCGTGTTTCCTCTGCTCCCGATTTGTATTGTGCTTGAATACTGTTCGTTAGCTCATTATTTCATAATATTACATCACTACATACCTTTTCCATGATTGACGTTAAATCTGTACAAAACCATTCAAATTATGTGCATAACTAAGTGACAAATAAAATTTTTCACAGGGTAATTTAATTATGAAAGAGTAATTTAATTTACCCATATCTGAAAGTCTTTTCGAAGGTAAAATTTAGAACAAGGCTAAATATCAGATTATGTGATCAATATTCTGAGCAGTTCACTAATGCCAATAAGCAGAATGTGATGAAATACACTTATTACTCCATATCATCAGCTGTAATTTTGAAATCAATTGATATTAACAACCGTCAGGGGTAGATGCATGAGTTTCAATTGGTATCTTCGATATAATCACTTCTACGTCAAGAAACAATTCGATCTTCATCACATTCGCAGAAACTTTACTCTGTTTCCTTGAAATTTTGGAATAAACTATTTGAAGAAGCTAAAGCAAGTCCATACTTAGATTCTTCAACTGCAGAATACAGGCTAGTGTTTGTGATTATGAATGTTGCCCAGCACAGACTCTTTAAATCACCATGTGTGTCAGAAGATGATTCTGACTCAACCCTTTAAATTTAAACTTGCCAACAAAGGAATAGATGCTGTGAACATTAGTAACATTCTTAATCATTTAAAAGTTCAGTCTTGCATTCCATCGTATTGCAAGGTGAAGTCATCACATTGCATGTCCTACAGATTTTCTCAAACTGTTCCTTCCTACCTTTTTAATTATACGCAATCCTTACTGCGCCTAGATACTGAACATCAAAAACAAAATCCTTTTAAGTGTTCTTGCTCCTCTTCTTTCAACTATAGTCCTGCTGGACACGTCATTACCGGTGAGGTCAATATAGTTGGAAATGAAGACCTAAAACCAATCACCTTAATATACAATTAATTACCCCTTATGAGTTCAACATGGTGAAATAAGGACCCGAGACCTGGCCCACGAGGTGACCTGACCTGACCGAGGCCGCATAGTGGCCGAGGTCAGGTCAGGTCAGCGAATGGGCCAAGTCGAGGGTCCTTATTTCACCATGTTGAACTCATAAGGGGTAATCAATTGTTTTATTATACCGATATAAGTTAAGACGTTTTTTGTAGACCTAATTACTAAAATAATCAACTGTGTATTAGACCTACGAACTGTTATTATCAGTGTTCCATCGGGATCGGGATTCGCTAGTGAACTTGTTTACTTTTCGCCTGCAAGTCTTGTAAGTTTTTGCACCGCCGATTTATTAAAACACTTTGTGATTGTCAGTAACATGCATTTTTATAAATTCACAAATACCATTCCCAAGTACAATGTCAATCTGGTGCAGACTTTTACTGTACAAAAGAGCCAAGTCTGCATTCGTTGAATTTGACATTGTAATGAAAGTTTCAATGAAAACGATAAATTTTATGACGCATCTGAAGGCTAGTCGTATTCCGTATCATAAAAAGACTATTAATACATATTTTTATAACGGCATTTTTTGTAGTAAACAATCATTATGTATAAATTTTTAATTTGAATGGAATTTAGATAAACATGCAGGTCATTTTTAGCGGTCATTATTTATAATGACCGGGTCATTATACCCTACGTGCCATGATTCCTAGGTCATTATTGCTGTAATCGGTGCTTTTGGGAGTCATTATTGAGTTCAAAAGCCTTCTAACAAGCCAGTCAAATTTGAGTATTCTTAATAGAGGTATAATAAAAAGTCCTAAATACAGGGAGTCCCGATTTTTCAATTTGTGACAAAATTTCATTTCTATTATAAACTGTCGAAGATTATGCTATACATGAAAGGGAAGACCAAAACACTTTGTCAGAATGGATTACGTATTTTTGAAATTAGAAATATATTTTTTAAAAAAAGTATTAGAAAGTTTAAGGGCAATGTACGAACCATCCATCCTTCCGTTTTCACTAAATCGGAGGTGATTTATTGATTGATTGTATGTTGTTTACGTCCCATTCAATTTTTCACTCATACAGAGACGTCACCATATACCGGTGAAGGACTTCAAATTTTGACCTTTACTCGGCACTCAGGGCCATTGAGCAGTGAGTTTTCTTTATCGTGCCAACTCCTACCGTGACACGGGGCCTCTGTTTTTAAGGTCTAATCCGAAGGACCCACAACTTTCACTTCAAAGTGCCGAGCGCTTGGCGAAGGAACAGTTGCTACCCATTTTTATCGACTTAGGCCAGTCGTGACCGTGAATCAAACACACGACCTTCCGATCACGGGGCGGGAGCTCTACAGTCTGAGCTACCGGACAGCTAAATCGGAGGTGATTAAAGAATTAGAAAGACAACAAAAACAATATGCTATGGTTCCAGCAGACAAGGCATCTAACAATATCGGCTTTGTTTGTAAGGTTTATTATTATGACTGTACTTTAAAAGAACTTGATTTTAATTCTACTTCTAGAAATCCAACGTTTTCTCACAGTTCTCTTTCTAAGGAAGAAATTCTTCAAAATCACATTTCAGTGTTTAATACCTGCATTTAATAACATTTAATCAAGGTGATATACCCTACCTTATCTTGTTTCTTAAACTTTGTAAAAATCCTTACAAATATACATTGTTGGGTCCAGCAAATGCTATACCAAGCCTCTATCTTTACTCCTTTCAAAAATATTAATTGCTGCAAAGGAGAAACTTCAGACGTACTGTGTTACAGCATATTCTAGAAGTGGTGTAAATAGATGTGGATTATCAAAAACTCCAAAGAGCCTTAAGTAAATTTAAAATCACCTATTTTTTCTAAAGTCAATAATATCAAAACGTACATTTTCACACATATATACAGTCATTCCTTGCGATGACTTCAAATAATAGGTCATCAACAAAATTACTCTGTTAAAACATCACTGTTGTTCTATGCGAAAGTACACTGAAATTGATATGAAAAGGATGCTGGAGTTCCTCATTTACAACATTTATATAGTTTTTGGAGACCAACAAACTGTTGGAATTCGATGGGAATAATTGTGCTCCTTCATTAAGATTCCCATGAGGCAGAATTCATTAAAAAACAAATACTTGAGAAGATGAAAACACTTTGATCTTCAACATTCAGATATATCATCTCAGTTAACAACAGCTACGTTCATTTATATGTGGACTCAATATATCCCAGATAACTTGAATTTGAAGCCATCACAGAGTCTGTTTCTGTTTCATAATAAAGAAATTGTATGACAAACGAGATGATTTCAGCTTTTCCATCGTCAACTTCTCTATCTATATGGTAATATTCTGCTATCACTTGCATGTGTTGTTTACGTCTCCTAACTTATTCGATACTCAGAGGCATACGATCAATTTTTAAAGAAGTTTGACAGTTTGAAGTTTTAAAGAAGTTTGATTTTACATGGATTTCGACAACCTTGTTTAAAGTCAGCATTTCGTAAATTCTATCATCGTTATGATGACCTTGTTAATAAATATAATCTATCATTAGGTCCTTGGGTCATATCATGGCTGACGTGTTTCATATGGCATAGGCTTAGCGCCCCTCCCCGATTTTGTTTTGCAAAGGTAGACATAATATAGGCATTGAACATTTAGGCTTTGCTTCTCAAACGTTTTATTGATTTAACTCCCTAGCCTTCCTCCACTTTTAATTTGCTTTCCACGCCTAAATACCGATTGGTAGGCCTTTATTTTAATTTTGACTACGGAATTTTCCGTCTACCTAATCAATACATAGGGCTTAGGGCGGGTTTAACCAGCGAACAGAGGATACTTTCTCTTCCTACTTCCTAGGCACGTGATCCCACCTCTAGAATTTCTGGGGATGCCTGTTATACCCCCTGTTCATAGATTCATTTTGATTGTAGATTTTTTGAGTTTGAACACTGTTCATTATCTTCACCTTTTCGTATTTTAAAAAGGAACATGGTCCTAGTATTGTTTCGCATAAAGTGATTAAACGTTCAAAGAGCTTTAAATAACCAGCATTTTTAGACTGTATATGAAATTGTTAATCAACCTATTATGAGTCTAATATATATGTTGTAGGCCATTTAATTCGTCAAATCTCTTTTTGTACATTCAATGAGAAATTGGTATTTGAAAACACAACTTGATCACCCGATTCTCCGTAAAAGTTGATTGCTAATTAGCAACATCAGGATGGAACTAATTCTCCGTGCTCTTCTCTGTAATTACTTTCTAGCCGGGATCGTGAGCACATACACTCTGACGGACGAGAAGAATCTACGCACATCGTTGTTGACTGGGTATGATAAAGAGCTGAGGCCGGGAACAGACAGAACATTTCCTCTTAGTGTACAGGCAGCCTTCTTTCTGTTCTCTATCAACGAATTTGATCTGAACACAGGGAAACTATCACTTACCGGTTTATTCAAAATCTCCTGGATTGATGAAAGGCTTTCCTGGAATCCTGTCATGTATAACCAGACAAACGCAACTTCATTCAAGCAAAATAAAGTATGGATTCCGAATTTTATCAATATAAATCCTTATGAAGACATAAAAGGACTTGGAAGTGATTTGATTTCAGTACGTGTGTCCTCTACCGGACACTGTGACTGGTTTGCCATTCAAGGACTTGAGGTGATATGTGATGCCGATGTGACTAAATTTCCTTTCGACTCTCAATATTGCACCATGAAATTCTTCATATGGGGTTATCTACCACACGAAATAGATGTGCAATTCAACTCGTCGGAAGCTTTTCTAACACTATATCAAGAAAATGGCATCTGGGATATTACGGATTCAACTAGCCACACACAGCTTAACTTTTATGGTTATGAAGAAATTGTTATTGGCCTTCAACTGAAACGAAGAACATCCTACTATATAGTTTTCTTGATGTTACCAAAAATAGCATTGACTTCGTTGCTGGGTTTTGTTTTTCTTCTTCCACCCGAATCTGGCGAGAGAGTGGGATTATCCACTACAGTTCTATTATCAATTGTTTTATATCTAACACTCATTCAAGATATGCTTCCTGAATCTTCAGAACCAAGCGTGTCTCTCATTGGTTACATGTTGGTGAGCTATGTTGTGAGTGGAGCCATATCAGTAATTTGTGTAATTTTCAGTTTAAGATTTCAAAGCTCTTGCCAAAAGCCTGTGCCCGGATTCATTATGAGTTTCGTCAAATTTTGTCGTAAGAGAGAGAAATCGCTTAACACGGTGGAAATTTTTGATTCAAAATCTTTGGAAATGGATGAAAATGAAGACAGTGTGACTTGGACTGAAGTTGGAAGGTTATTTGACAAAACTTGTTTCGTCATTTCATTAATTCAATTAGCATTAACGTCTACAATTTTCTTTTCACTTGCAATTTCTTAGCAACAGTTATATGGTTGATTATTATTGACTTTAATTGATTTTTGATATTAATGAGAGACTTCAGCTTAGATCTTTCTCTCTTTCTCTCTCTCTCTCTCTCGAATGTCTGAAATTCATCGATAAGATATTTTGTGGGGTGTACAACACAATGTTTTGATGCATGTATGAATCAATGAGTTATGTCTCTTTGCAAATTTCATCAACTTGAAAGTTTAATATTTCTTTTTAATTTCTAATATGTCGTCTTTTGTAAGCGAGCATTTGTTGTCTTAAATCAAAGACATAAAGCACATGTAGATGTAATTCATTGTCATCACATCGCTAACATTTTTCAAACACTTATATAAATAAAGAGAACATTTTGAATGATTTTCAAACCTTTATATTGATTCTTATTTGATTGTAAATTGGTTATAACTATACCTGTAAAACACACGACTATGATTTTGTAAAATTCTTGGAAATGTATCAAATTTGCAATGTATTAAAGTGTAAAAAAAATGATCCAATATTTATTTTTTGTAAGTCACATTATTGCAAGGAAGCAGTATGCACATGGAGAGCTTAAAAGAATAAAAAAAAATATGAAATAAATATCTGTAATGCTTTACAATAATAAAAACATTCAGGAAATTTGTACCATGAAAGTAATTTCAATCTCTTAAAGTTTTGGAAATTTTTCTTGGAGAATTTCAATAGAACAATTGGCTTCTTATGTATATGTTGTTAACATTCTTGGTAAAAATATTATCTTTTTAATTATTTTTTCCCAAAAGTTGGATGTGTTTCCGCTGTATTTATTTTTATTTGATTGATAAAATTTTAAAGTATTTTATATATTAAGGTTTAATTAAGAATAATTAACAATTAAGAATTACTTATCTTTAAAATTTTTCAACTTTGGAAATGTTTAATTCATTATCATGTACTCAAATTGCCTTAAAGTTTTAATTACTAATAAGATATTTTATATGATACGCGTATATCCAGTATTTTAAGAATAGTAATCAAGCTCAAATGCCCATTGAAACAATGAAATGGAACAATGCATAGTAAACATAGGGACAGAGCAAACACGGACCTCAAAAAAATAAAATAAATAAATAAATAAAAAAAAAAATAAAAATAAAAAAAATTATAAAAAAAAAACATAAGTGGTGGGATCAGTTGCCATGGATGAGTAAGCATCGTTTATACAGTTTTCGGGAGACGAGTTACTCTTTTCAGGTGTAGATGAAAAGTAATAAAGATGTACTAGTACCTCAGGACAAAAAAAATTAAAAAAAAAGATTAAAATTTTAAATCAAGACACAGTTATGCACATGATAGTACACAATATCCTATATTGCAATAACATTCTTGTTCTGTTTATTCGTGTTCTTGAAAACTAGTGATTAGAAAAAACACAACGGACACAACAGAACACAACGTTCCCAGGGAAATAAATATTAAACACGTGCTTTGTAAACAATATTTTGATGAGGATATTTGAATTTTGTTAACAAATATATATCTATAAACTATAGGCAGAGTATTTGAAATCAACTCGAGTAGGGGTCTAACAATTAATCCAAGCAATTAAATCCTTAAGGTTCCCGAATTACGCTTGTGGATAAACAATACAATAACGGTCATGTAGAGACTATATGTCGTGAACCTTTGTTTTGTAATTGTTTTGTTTCTAATCAGCAAAGTGATGTCTAATTACAACTAAAAAAGGTTAAGATGAAGCAAAATGACAACAAGAGGACTTTCTTACTTTTTTTGTTTATTACCGTTGTCGATTCTACTTATCAACTTCAATGCTATATCTCTCTCGGCCTTAGAAATTTAACATATTACTATAATACTCGAGTATATAACTCTATCAATTTTCCTACATTGTGGTAATTTCTAGTTTAAATTTTACAAACAAGAAATCCTCCATCTGAATTTTTATGGGATTCGCCTGAGAATCAAAATAATTTGCTCTTACCCGCAGAAATAATTAATACATGAATACATTGATATCTCATTCAATGTCTATAAGTTAAATTTCAAAGTGAATTTTCTTCCATTTCTTTGTAATGACAACTTTGTTATTTAAAAATGTATTTATACAATGTAAATATTCATTTCCCTTTCTAAGTATATACATACTTTTCTGTAAGGAAATGTTTTAAAATAACCCTTACCTGACGTTCCAAATAAAAGAATTGGAAATCTTCAACACAAACCTTAAATGTGTATCCTTTTAACTTTTTATGTACCTATTTATCAAATTAACGCAAATGACGCAAAAATGAAGTGGTTATAATAAAAGAAAACTAAACATTGCTTCATGGATTCCTGATCAATTCTAAATAATAACGAATTGCTTTTAAACCTGGGATAAATTTCAAAACTTTGACAGAGGTGGTCAGTTGTGCCGAGTGTGATATGAAATGCCCTCCTCCCTAATAATATTTTCTCAGCGGAAATTTTTTATCTTAGGCAGGGGTACCTGTCATAAGATTTCTGAAAATATTCTTTATTTACTTCCATTAATATTCAAGTTGTAATTAAAGTGTATCCTTAAAAATAATTTAATAATGAATTAAGAGGCAGTCCACCGAAAAACCAGGCAGTATTGTATTAATAGGCGGCACATCGAATGTGAGGAATATTTGATATTTTATTAAAAACAATATCAATGTAGCCCAAAAGGAATAATGTAATTGAAGATTTGTTTGATAATTGCTTATTTAGTAAAATATCCTTGTGTTTTGTGTTTTTGAATGCCCCTATATAAACCATTGAATGTAGGTCAGAAACAAAGAACTGTAATTTCTAATACATTTTTAACAGGACTATAATTCACACTTAACTAAATCTAGAAATATTTCAACTTTTTGTTTAAAAAATAAAATCGGTGGGAAAAACACTTTTGATAGTAGTTTTCTGGCAAAATATAAGGACGTTTTAATGAAATTTTGCGATGCAAGAGTTATCTCCCGTGGCATCGATAAATCTGCTCAACACCTTTTTATCGGAATCCTAGTGAAATATTTAGAATCGATACACTAAAGAAAATGATTAAACAAAAAACTAAATAATTTATTTTCAAAATATAATTCATTTTCGCCTCCAGACGTAATATTTAGATTAAAATTGGCTCTATTATTCAGGTTGAATCCACGTTTCCATTGATGTATCAGTGACGTCATATACTTGACTAATATTGCGTCACAATGAAATAATTACAAGTTTCCAGAGAAGTTTGTAAATTCTTTGCCTAAAAGTGTAAAGAAAAAGATTTAAAAAAAAAAAATGATTTTTCTTATTCTGTTTAATTACTCTTCAGAGTGCATTATTCTAAATGTTAAATAATATTTTAATATCAAAATGTATTTTATACACGGGCGGCGTCTCAGCTAGATGACGTTTTGATAAGTAATTTTATACATGTCTGGGAACTAATTTTTTTTAAACTGATTTACTAGGATATGCGTAAAAATAATTAATGAAGTGTTTATCATGAACATTTCTTATAAAATTGGGAATCAATGATGAATGTTTTAGATTTACGCAACACTTAATTCAACGAAGTTGAGATGTTTACTTCATGATATTTGTAAAAAATTAAATATATTTATCTATGCAGTCAAATCAAAATAAACAATCCGAAGTACGATTAAAAATGAAAAAAAAAAAAACCCTGAAAAATAAGTTATAAAAATATATTTATTGAGTTAAACTACTGCTGAACTCCCCACTATAATTTGGCACTAAAACGGAAGATGGTTTAGTGAAACATTACGTTTTTTTTTATTTTACTTATTTATTTTTTTTAATTTGGCGATTGAAACAATTACACACTCACATTTAATATGGAGTTTAAACATGTGACTATGTTGGCCAATTCTAAAATGTTTTCACGTTCATGAAACCAATTTTAAAAATAATGATGTCATGACCCCCCCACCCCCCCCCACCCCCGCTTTTTGCTTGCGATTTATCGGCTCTTGAATAATGATACTATGTATGAAAGAACTTATTTTCTTATTTATATAAAATCAAATTTTGTAAAAGAGGAAAAGGCTTTACAGATGACAGGTAAGAAAAAATTGGATAAAGTCGAGACTGTACACATAAAAATATTTCCTGTATTTAGGCAAGTTTAATTTCGCTACTGATAGAATTTACTCTTTAATTCCTGAGGAAATAAAAAAGAAATTTTACTTGGAAATAAGATAAATAATAAAACTAGAAAGCTGTCTGCTCTCATTTGTTGCATAATGCATGTACAAATACTTTTTTTTAAAATACCGAGTATCTATTAAGAATTCAATCAATTGTTTTACATGTAATCTTCATGTACGTAAAAGACATTAGTAATTTGAATAATATATAAATTTGAATCTATGGTTACACTCATTTAAAAACAGTTAACTGACTGAAAAGAAATAAAAGACAAGCATATTTTTCTGATGAATTAAAATGAAGAGCCAAATTTTGGAAATGTTTCTAAATTTACAGTAAAAACCGATCCCGATCCCATCGAAAATAATGCAAAATTAACAAATTTATCAAACTAAAGGCACCTGCCACCTATATAACATGTTAAAAAAATAAATCAAGTAAGTTTTTACTCATATTACAACAAAAGAGCCAGATTTAACATTACGTTATGGTATTTTTTTCTTTATATAATTCCGGTCGGGATCGGTTTCATTTGGGAAAATTATTAAAAAAAAAAAAAAAAGGTAAATTTGACTCCTTTTATTTCTTTCAATATACCTGTTCCCATTGATTTTATTGAGTGATTCAAAAGTTTGTACTTTGTATTCATAATATCATAAGAAAAAAAATCTGTCCTTCTAATGTATTGGGTTTTATAACGTAATGAAAAGTGGATACTGAATTCAAAAAGTTACTTGCTTAACTCAAATTTGGACCATATAATTTTTTCTAAAGAAGTATAAATTGGAGTCTTATTCATTAATAAAATAAAAGATAAGAGTCTATGCTATAAATAATATTCATCGACACATCCAGCTTTTGAGTATCTGTTACATATAAAACAAAACAAAAACGTAGTAATTTTTTATACCCTTATGTTGACCTTTTTGCACTTAAAATTAAGCATTTACCAAAAATAGGACTATAGGAGCACTAAAAAATTTTTTAATGTTGCCATGTGTAAACACTTGCTTTAATAAATCTACATGCAAAAAATAATTAAAATCCATGACATGCGATGTGCCACCCATTGCCTGGTTTTTCAGTGGACTGCCTCTTAATTGAATAATTAAATATATGTCAAATGATATAACAAATGATTATTTAAACAAAATGCAAGTGTTTAAGGCGAATAAAAAATCTAGTGAAGAGAAAGTCTTACAAAGAGCAGTAAATTGAGATAGATTACCACTTGAGCGGAATAATTATTATAAAACTTAATAAATTTTATAGTGGTTATAATTAAATCCTTTCAGATCAATTTCATTATTGGTCACCACCTAAAAATTTTTACGTCATATTCAAAGGATTTACAACAGACACATTAAGTACATAAATAGTAAAAAGATTCAAACAAAAAAATCTAAAATCCACAAACCATAATAGTGAGATATCTTGATTTTCCTGAATGAGTATATTGCCTCACAAACTTCGACGAAATTACATACAAAACCTATGTTTACATAAAACTGATTTATCGCTTTCATTCTGTAACTCACTTCTGAAAATATTTCTAACTGGCTTGGTACAATTCAAGTAAAAACAGTTGTTGTGACTATTGACACTAACTATAGCTTAAGGTCAAGATCTAGTAAATGACTTTAGACTAACATTTTGGTGCTAGATCCATTATGACGTCATAATCAATTTCAACTTTCTTTTTCCCGTACTTTACGGCTTTTATAGAATTATGTAGAAAATAAAGTATTTTCATGGAATTCAATTTGAAATCATGTGAAAAGTAATCCCGATACCTATATTCAATTTAATATTATTATATAGAAGAGGCCAAGAACATACAAATTACCATTTTCTGAGAGACTCTAGGCAATCTGAATACATATCCTTTGTCTAATATGGAAAAAACTCTCGTTTTCATGACTGGTTTTCTTAATTTTTCATTGAAAATGACAGTTTAAAATATGATTTTTTGTCTTGTTTACCTACAAATTATGCCCCGAAACACCTTATTTGACCAAGCTAAAGTTATAAAGCATCATTAAAGGAATTTATTTCTCGAATTTGAGAAATCTGTAGGCACCTTTCATTTACTAGATCTTGACCTTAAACGTTGATATGTTAGGAAAAATCCTGCTCATGGAGGTTAAACTGATGAGAAACTTTTGATTTACTGAAACATAATCTGAAAACATTGTAAATATGAATAATTGGACACGAAGAATGTAAATAATAATGGGGTTAATGACAAAAGGGGTAAATACAGGGGGAAAATGTAATTATTTAACCATCACTTACTCAGTGAGGCAATTTAAATCTAAATACACATATTCGTCGTTTGTTTTGAGATTTAATTGATATATGTAAATAAGTGAACCAGGAGGATAAAATGACCGTACATCCTAAATTAAAATGGTAAATAGAATCATTCCTGATTGTCATGAATTTAAATGAGATCTATTGAGATCCCAGAATGGTCTTGTAAAGTGATATCTGTCTCTTAAGGACCTCAATGTTTATAATCTTTATGATTCAAATATTTTCGTTGGTGGATATTTAATGCAAAGAGAAGTCTTTACCGCTCCAGTGAGAAATTGCAAGTGATTTGGATGACTTGGTTGTTCGATTTTTTTTTATGTGACTGAAATTAAGAAAGGACGTCTCCCAGGATTGATTGTAAATTTTGAATTTTCAGAATGGAACTATTTGTAATGGGACTTCTCTATTGTTCTATTTTGTTTGGAATGGTGAGAGCATACACTCTGACAGACGAACAGAATTTACGAACATCACTGTTGACGGGTTATGATAGTGAGTTAAGACCAGGGACTGACAGAGCATTTCGCCTTGATATAAACACATCCTTCTATCTGTTTTCTATAAATGAGTTTGATCTGAACACAGGGAAATTAACGCTGACTGGTTTCTTTGACACCAAATGGTTTGACGAAAGACTTTCTTGGAATTCAGCAAGCCACAACCAGACAAACAAAACCACAATTCCACAGAATAGATTGTGGCTTCCAAATTTTGTCAATATCAATCCTTTTGAGGAAATAAAAGGACTTGGAAATGATTTGGTTAGAGTACGTGTTTCGTCCTCTGGGATTTGTGAATGGTACGCTCTTCAAGCTTTGGAGGTTATATGTGATGCTGATGTATCCAATTTTCCTTTTGACACCCAGTACTGCACTTTGAAATTCTTTATTTGGGGTTATGAACCAACTGAGGTAAAAGTGAATTTCATGTCTGCAAATGTTATTTTGACATTGTATCAAGAAAATGGTGTCTGGGACATTGTATCGTCTACAACGTACACACAGGTAAACTTTTACGGATTTGAAGAAATAATTGTAGGATTTCATTTAAAACGAAGAACAGCTTACTACGTAACAAGTCTGATTCTGCCGATTACATCCTTCTCGTTGTTGATGGGTTTTGTTTTTGTTCTTCCTCCTGAGTCTGGTGAAAGATTGGGTTTTTCCACAACAGTTCTTTTATCAATCGTTCTCTATCTTACCTTAATCGAAGGCATGCTTCCTGAAGCTTCAGAACCTAATGTCTCCATTATTGGACACATTCTTGTAAGCTATGTTGTGAGTGGAGCCATAATTGTTGTGTTTGTTATTCTAAGTTTTAAAATTCAAAGCTGTTCTCGCAGAAAACCTGTCCCTCGATTCATTGTGAGCTTCTTTAAATGTTGTTGTAAGAAAAGGAAAATATCAAACTCGGTTGAAAATTGTGATATAAAAACTTCGCCAGTTGATGACGTCGATAACCACGTGACATGGATTGAAGTTGCAAAGTTGTTCGATACAATATGTTTTGTCCTTTCATTAATTCAATGGACTATAACTTGTATAATTTTCTTTTCTATCGTTTCTTGATGACAGTAAATGTTGATAACTTTCTATCAGGACATTTTATTGGAGAGTACTTTTCATATAAGATGTTACTAATATGTTTCCTCCAACCTCTAGCAATATTGAAATAAATATATACATTCTTTCAATGATAATTCAGTGCACAATACAGTGAAGAACCACTCTCTATCATGTCATCATTATGTTAGCTATTCTGATTCCAGTTGAAGAAAAAGGTAAAGTGCAATACTTATAGCAAAGAAGTTAAGAATACCAATGTATACGCGTACTTTACTCACTTCATTTATTGAACTTATTCACATATTGGAATATAAGTAGTAAACTTTATTTTTAAAATATATTTTGATCAATCAAGACTGCAAAATCTTTGTTTAAATTTTTATTATCAATATTTATATCTAAATAAAACTTATGGTCGTCACAAATTTTATTTTCGATCCTATATTATCCATTGAGAGATTCTTTAACATTTAAAATGTTTCTAAATACACGTAAACGTCTTGATACATTGCTACGGAAGAAAAATTATGTGTCATTATAATTTTTAATATATGTGAACAGTTACTATGAATTTGATAGTGACACGTGCATTCGATTTTTAAGAATATATAGTTTTTAAGGAAAAGTAATAGATAAAACCATTTAGTTTTCCTTTTTATGCAAAATCTAGAATAAAATCTAAAGAAAATGATAATTTCGACAGGAATTTCTTTTAATGTGTCAGAGTATATTGAAAAAATTATGATTTTTTAAAACAAATTATTTTACTTGTAGTTTTTAAAAATTAATTAATCGACAGCTTCGATATGTCTGGGTCAAGCAAAATTGAATACATTTTAGACCTTTTTGTTCAAAAATATATCGAATACTGATACCAAACTCAGTTTTACCAGGATAAGATACTATGACTGTATATATTGTGTTTAGACATGGTGTTTAAAAACTTTAAAGGACATAGGAGGGCTGTTCGGAAAATTGTGACATTCTTACTATTTCTTTTTCGTATCAATGATTTTTGGTGAAAAATTAGCATATACATTTATCAACACAAACAATATATAAAATCAAGAAATATTTCAGATTTTTTTTTCTTTTAAATGACATATTAATGTACCTATGGAAGGGGTGCCAGCGCAATTTCGAAATCAGGTATTGAAATTCTGTAACTTTTAAGGTCGAATCAGAGAATGAATGAAAATTCATGAAATTATATACATCATATTTTGAATTTTATTATTAAAAAAGCAAAGGAGTTGAACGACCATCAGTTATTACGGGCGAATTAACGTCTCTAGTCCCAAGGTGGCAAGTCCGGCAGTTTTCCTTTTGATTTAATAACCATTTCAACACTAATGGCCTGTACACTTTAATATACAGTAATGTGTTTGGTCTATATTTCAGAGAAGTTATGAAATATTCTAATAAATATCAAAATTAATTATATTACGTAAAATAAACAGGAAATAAATAAAGAGATAATCAATAATTTGTCGACATAAGCTTCAAATAATTTATAAAATAAGATGTTTATGCATGTACCAAGAGTGCCGTTATTTTAACCCTGAATTGCCCCAGTCATTTACCTCAGTGAACAGAATGCAGTGGCGGATCCAGGTATCTTGAAAAGGGGGGCGACCATTTTGGGGTCGGGATAGTGGCCCACGGCCACACAAAAAAGGATTTATTAAATCTTATGTATATTTTGGACACAAAAGGGGGCGGCCCCCTGCCCCCCCCTTTAAATCCGCCAGTGGAATTTGCAGTCTGCATGCTTGACTAATTTATAGAACTATTTTGAACATCAAAATTTATTACATCAAAATACTTGTAAGACGGAATTTTCACCTACGATTAGCATTTCATATAATTAAAGCTTCAAATTTACTTTTGTAATTTAAAGATTGTATCTAGTTTGTAACATTCTCCTTATCAATATAGTATATCTACATATACAGAAACAGTTTTGTTTGCCTGGTTCAAATTTCATAATATTAATGTTATTTTCCTTTTCAAACACATTTCTTTGATTGATTTCAAGATATCTTATACCATTCAAACTCCTACTACATGTATGTTAAATTGCAACAGAATCGTCAATGAAATCTGTTTGGTATCATTATAGTGCTAATTACCCTCTTTACATTATACGCAACTGAAAAGAACATTTGATGAAATCGATATATGGAATTTTAACAATGCTTTTCGGCTGGCTTTTGTGTATTGAATAAGTAGGTATTCAGCTGTTTAATGCTGGACAAAATCTAGAACATAACGATCATGCTGACAATTTCTGGCTAGATTGAAAAGAAAATGGGACTCTATATCTGGTCTTCACAGAAACATTTTTATCAAAAGGTGAGATAACTCACTGCTACATATATGTATTCACTTCGTTTGATGAAGTAAAAATTTGATATTTATTAGTAAATTATTTACTCCGACAAACATTTTTTTTTTATTATATTCCTTTCTCCTTTAGAGAATAACATGGAAATGGTATCAAGACTAACAAACAGCACATTTTACATGCAAATAATTTTGAACACTATTGTAAAATATATAAGAATTTTTATACTTTAAAATGTCAATCTAACCATATTAAAATTATGAATATTCCTGTGTTTATCAAAGAAAGCATATCAATGATTAAGAGACAGTTAAACATTTTATTTATAGTCTATAAATAGTCCCTATATAATCTATAAAAATGCAAACGGTTCATAATACTACATATTCACTGGATTTGAGGTCGTATTCACCGGAGGGTCAGTGAGCGTGCAGCGGCATTGTGACGTCACAATCAATACCTTAACAACGTTGAAAACAATGGTTGCAACGGCCGGAGCCAGCCGTGTATCTGAGCAGAAAAAAATGTTAGGCAAGTCTATCGCAGGATTATTTTCCAAACTTTTCGATGTTTTACACACAGCAAAAGGAAAATACGGAAGTTATAAGTTGTAATCTGGACAATTTTTTTTTTCATTTTTCAACGGTAAATGGTATAGTTATGCAGCCTTCAATGTCTTATTTATTCAAATCCTGACTATATAATATGGTTTGTTATTCACCAGAAAAATATCAATATTGACCGAGGCTTGGTTTTACAAATTAAAAAAGAAAGAAAAAACTGGGAAATTGACAAAAATAGAATTTTTGTGTAACGGGAGAGGAGAAAAATGCAGCGGACCAGACCGGGATTCCTCTAACAAAAAAATACTAAAGTAAACTATAGTTAACTATAGTTTACTATAGTTCACTATAGTAAATCAAAGTTCCAAAGTTTTTACTATAGTAAATCAAAGTTCCAAAGTTTTTACCATAGTAAATCAAAGTTCCAAAGTTTTCACTATAGTAAATCAAAGTTCCAAAGTTTTTACCATAGTAAATCAAAGTTCCAAAGTTGTTACTATAGTAAATCAAAGTTCCAAAGTTTTCACTATAGTAAATAAAAGTTCCAAAGTTTTTCTATAGTAGATCAAAGTTCCAAAGTTTTCACTATAGTAAATCAAAGTTCGAAAATTTTTACTATAGTTAATTAAAGTTTCAAAGTTTTCCCTATACTTAATCAAAGTTTCAAAGTTTTTTCATTAGTTTAACAACTTATGTATTTTTATTAATTTTTTTATTATTTAGCCGTTTTAGGGTAGAGGTGGACATGGAGTTGGTTGGGGCTGGTTTTTGTTGTACATCTTTATTTAAATATACAAAGTAGTTAATCTCCAGTCAGGTGCTCTACCAACTGAGCTATCTGGCCACCGGCGATCGAACCCGTCTGACCGCCACATTTGCATGGGCCATGCAACTTTTGGTTAATTCCTGAAAGTAATGTTTTTTTCTATATGTGAAAGTTTCTTCATGATTTCATCCAAAGATTTAAAATATGTCTTTGAAAGATAACATCATACATCAAAACTCAAAGGAGATACTTAAAACATCAATTAAATAAAGTTTGATAAAAACAGAGTGATTCAGGTCATTTTAAAACTCTGTAAGTATCAAGCCAAATCCAAAAAGGGTCGAATATAGCATCAAATGAGAAAATCACTTTTGATGTTCTTCCCACAATTTATTATGTTACAGCTCGTGCCTACATCGCATCATCTTTATGAATTTTCAAATCAGATCATTTTAATTATTGCTATTTTTTTTAAAGACAACACGCTCTTGTATTGTGTTTATGTCCTTATCGCCAATTTGTATCAACTGGAATCCATGTTCTTCTATCGTTTTCTTTTTTCGTTCGTATCCCCAACCTACACCTAGTCCATCCCCAGAGGGTCCTGATAAACTCAGAGGAAGGCAAGAAAAGAGACTCAATGGCAATTCCATCTGTGCTGTTGGATCATTAACTAGCTTGTGGGGATACGAGGATATTGGAGGGTCGTATGCTGCCCCGTATCCATCTGGTTTAAGGATCCTTTTTGTCTCTTCAAGCATGGCGTCAACCTCGAACGAATCGTGAAGAACGTCGTTTATTAGGACAAAATCAAACTTCTTCGTCCAGTCCTTTGGAAGGTCCCCACCTCTCATGCAGATAAACTGAACATTGTTCTTTTCATCTTTTTTTAGTTCTTTTTGGGCATGATCTATGGAGACCTGGTCCATGTCAACACCATAAATGCTACTTTCGGGATACAATTTGGCTATTTCTAAAGTAAACTTTCCGTAACCACACCCAAGATCAAGCAGAGAAAACTGGCTTCCTGTTAAACAGATTTGGAGAGTCAAATTAAGAAAAAGAAAAGTTAGAAAATAAGAAATAAAAACAAGCAAAACTAGTAAAAATATTTTGCAAATATATCCTTATTCAAAATACTTATAATATTAATGTAATTTTTCTTTTGCTGTAAACACCTTGTTTGAGTTCCAGTACCGGTATCAGCATATCTTTCATCCACCTCTGAATAGCTTCCGGTGTGAAGAAATGGCCCCACCAATGAAGAAAAGGCTCATAACATCCATAACCTTTAGGTTAAAAGTAAGCAAGAAGATAAAACATTTTCTACCTGAATACGTGCATTATGTAAAATATGATTCCCAATTTTAGCTCAGTTCTAACACATGGCACTGTGATATGGTACAAACTGAATCTTTACAGCTCGGGAACATAAATTTACATGTAAAACTTTTATCTCATATTGTCCAACAATATCCCATGAGACATGATTTCAATGATTCATTTACTCTATGTCAGGAGGAATTCACTAAAGCTAAGGTGGTTTGGGGAGGAAGATTTTTAAAATGATCTCATCCTAATTTATTCCTTTTTTCTTGATTATCTCCAGATAAAAGGGCATTCTCCGTAAAATTTACTATTCCATTCACGGAAGGATGTCCTTACAAGTATGGTTTAAATAGGTCCGATGGTTCATAATATGTAAACTTTACAGATGGTAGGGATGCTGATGGACGGCGGGCAACCGGTGATAAAAAAAAAAACTCGAATAAATAGTACAATTATTAGCATTATGTGAAAAATATAGCTTTGGTTTTCAGTTTCAAGAAGGACTTTCAGGAATACTTAATTGAAAAAAAATGATAGAAAATGTTAAACATGATAAACCTTGGTCAAACAAGACTTTTAGTCTTTCCTAAGCTTTGTCAAGGTGATAGAAATCTGGTGTTACTGTTTACCACCGCTATAGCCCGAACACAAGGTAATCAACATAGATAAGAATGGTAGCATATGAATAAGAAAAGAGGTAATTCTTAAGCATCGCACACTGTTAGTACGATTTTTTTGACTCAGCGCATTCAAAAAATTTTATATAGACAAAAATAAATAAACTAAATGAATAAAATAAAAAATAATGTCGATTTTTACATTCTTATAAAATTATTTTTTAAAATCTATTTCACAATTTGAGTTTCCCAAGCAGTGTGTGTTTAACGACACATAACAGCAAATAGTTATTGTTTAGATATAGATATAGATTTTTCTAAATGACGGCTATGTATTGTAAATTTAATGATGTAAATCCATTCATCCATGGTTGAAAGCCAGACATAGATGAACAGATAAAGTTCATTACGTGGTGTATATTCTGACGAAGAAAATCACCTGGCAGAGTAGTGCACTTTTCCGTCGAGTGCAAACTAATGTTAGTGTCAAAAATTGTCTTATTATAAAAGAAATAATTTAATCAAAATCTTGTCTGGTGCTATCTTTAAACCTAGATATATACGGGAATGGATTGGCTATATCGCCAATCGCCAAAATATGTACAGGAATGGAAAAGAAAACAAACTGTAAACATGAAAACAACACTGTTTAGTGAAATTATTCACTTAGGAAATAATTTCATTTTTAACTCGATAAAAAATTAATGTTGCCTACATATAGTTTTCACATATTCTTCGTAAAAGTGTCACACACGAAATTTATTCAGTTCTTTTTTAAAACAATATTTTCAAAATCTTTGTTTGACAATATACTCTCACTAAACACATATTTCAACATACTTGTCAAAGTAAGCTACATTCCTAAAAGCAAGTAATTTTTCTTAATCGAATCTTAAGCATATTTTTAACATATATTGTATGGAACATCCAAATTTATTTACGTTAGCATTTTTAATATTCGCTATACAAATGAAATTTCTAATAGACAAAAACCAGACCTCGTGGTCCTTCTTCAGACATGACGTTTTCCAGTCGAGGGATCATCTCAGTAAGAATAGGGAGGACGGCAGCAATGTTACAGCATTCTTTTACCACAGACTCGTCGTACGGAAGTGAGTATTTGCCGTCCTCGTGAATTAGGACGATTCCCGCCGAGATAAGACAACCCAACCATTCTTGTATGTACCTATAATATATGTAGAAAAATTAATTTCAATCAAGTACAAAGGGAGGTAAACTTCAAAATAAAATCTAAAGGGTAAAGGTCATAGACTAGAATAAGGAAAAACATCTGGAATTAAGTTCTCGTCCGGCACGCAGTATTCTTGGTTAGATCATTATATGGCTAAGCCTTGAAGGTACTCAAAACATATTATATAGAATATTGACAATTTTTCGATATCAGTTTTACAGAAAACATTTGCTCATGAAAGATGTTCTCTATAGCTTGTAAAATGATATAGTTACTTCATTATCTAGCGAAGCATTATATTCCAGGATCATTAGAGTGCAAGAAATAACCAGCGACTCCCCCTTCAGATAAAATAAATAAACGATATAACCTGACACTGAACTTTAGGGTTTGGTTACAAGATGAAAATATGGTACACGTACCATTTTCAAGGATATTTTATTGCATAAGTCAAAATGATTCACGATCATAAGTAATAAACATGTACTGTATCATCTCCTAAATGTAATATCCCAAGTATATCTCTACAAAGATTGATCATTGCTATTATGTGTGTACGACATTAATGTATACCACGTTGCATTTATTAGTTATCACTAAAATAGTGTAGCAATACTGCTTGACTTCGCATCCAATAAAAATTAATTTACCAGCATATCAACCATGAATGAAACAACATCCAATATTTATTTTGCACGCAATAGTGTCCGCCATTTATTTTTGCTGCGAAAGAAAGAAAAAAATATAATAAATAGCAATTAGTGAATGAAAATTTAACATAGCCATGCTGAGGTTAAATAATGCCTCATGTCTTATATGTACATGTGTCAGGCATACTCTTCATGTGTAAATTAATTATAAATTCAGTAAAACACATCTTTTGTTAATCACGTTTAGAATTATCCTCATATCATACTCATTTTAATGATGTTGATAAGCACACATACTACAAACAAACAAGTGGATGCAGGCAAGTGGACTCTGCTTTTATTTACGCTTACAGACGTCAAATAATACTAAAATTCCACAGAAACACATTTCTTAAAGATTCCAGTAAATTTTTGGCATTTTTTTTTTTAAAATTTTAATTAAACATTCCTAAAACTATTGTTTTGATATTACAAATGATAATGTACGAAGCACGGCAAAATGTTAAAAACCAAACGTGTGGGATCCAAAAATTTGCTTATCTATTCTCTATAATTTGCGATATTATTCGAAAATTTTAACCAAAATTTCTTTTTATTATTCTATTAATATGTAAATAGATTTCTGGCGTAATATTTGTAGTAATAACAGAAATATTGTGATTTTTCTCAGAAGAAAACCCAATGAAAAAATTTGCAAAAATGTCGTCTCGTTATTTCACGGAGCAGCGCACTTTTAACAAATTATGTGTTATGCTCAGAAAAACGCCAAGATAGACCCATAATATGCTTGCTTAAACATATAGTAACCCAGTAGTACTCGTATTCCGAACATATGTCTACAAAGAGAAAAAAGAGAATTTAAGACAGTTAGACCTCAGTACAAGACAATCCTGGAGGGGAGGGAAAAAGATCACTGATTAAAACGTGATCTGTACTGTGAAGAACGCGATTGAGAGTGACAGACGTCGCACAATTATTCAGAAATATCAGCAGTTTTGGGGTAAAAAAACTAAAACATACTATACTAGTTTTATAGTTTTCAAGATGGACCAGAAATGTTTATCGATGTTAATACTGGGTGGATAAGGTAAACCATACTGTATAGTATCAAACACTAAGGGAAATATTACAAAAATTAAAGCTCACATTTTTTATGTCTGTGACGTCGAAGATTTTGCTTCACCAAGACATTATGATATGTCTTGATAAATCAACCAAAATGTTATCAATTTAAAAAAATTGATTAAATAAAATGAAATTTTTATAATCATATGAGTAAACATTCTTTTATAGTATGTGCTACTTTTTGATTGATAATGACGTCAAATATTTTTTATGCAACCAATCTGTGAAATCTTTGAACGGCCCTCGTATGAATGAAAAATGGTCTTTCTGAACCAAAATATGTTAGTTTTGTTTATATGTCGTTGATTTAGTTTTGTCATGATTTTTTTTAAAAAAAGTTTGAAGAAATAAACTTTTGCTAACATTCCTGGATTCCGATTTTAGCATGACTTAAATATAAATGAATACAGAGAGGCTGGAGTCAATGATGTATTGATTGGTGCATTTTTGCACCGCATAGCAAATATGTAAAATTTCAAGTGAAGTAGGTAACTAGGTTACGTTCTTTAAATAGATATTAACAAACATGACATACCTTAACTTTTTACCTGTCTTCTGACTTAGTTCTTCTGCAGAACAGGGACTTTGTAATTTGATTAAAGTTTCAATTATTCCAACTTTGTGACCAAATGCAAAAACCAGGGTACTCAGCCCATCTCTAACAATTTGCTGTAAATCTCGGGGACGTGATGCCGACGCCATATTAAAACTCATTCGGATCACGCTCGCCCTTTTCCGTAACCGATAAAAAGATTTGTGGTTACGGAAATGGCCGAGTAGTTACGATTGATTAAAACTGTGGATTTTATTTATAATTTAGACAGTTGTGACGTATTAGAGGTATTGATGGCCTGTAATTTCACACTGCTGGTTGGTCTTTAAACAGATGGTGATATATTTATATCATAAACATACTGAAGAATTGTTATTAAAGGTGATTAAACAGACGGTTGGAAAATTTGACAGGTTTTATTAACAGCAATGAATAAATGCAATGGTTAATGAAAAGTATATTTATTAAGGACAGGCACAGATGATACTGTTCTCTCATGTTTAAGTCTACTGTAAAAACTGTCATAATAAGCTATTTTTCGATTAATGTTTCCTGCTTTTTATTGCACAATGTGAATGCTAAAGACAATTGTGGATATTTGTAAGGTAAAAACGTCATTGCTAACAACTTGTATGACAGGCTGATGCATGGAACAACAAATGATGCCAACTTTTACGACTAGATTAACCACAGACATCATCAAGGGATTTGAATATGGACATTGCAACTTTCAATTACCCCCTCCCTCCCCTTCATTTCTTTTTGTCAGGTCTCATACTGTGAAATCATCATTTTCTTTATAAACGAGATTCTTACTATATTACCTCCCAAAGAAGCATTAAATTCTAGTTGCTCTCATACATTGACCCCCCTCCCACCACCACCACCACCACACTCAAGATTTAAAATGATTTCACATTATTTCTCTTCCTGTTTAAGCATTTGTATGCCGAATAGTCGCAAATCCATTCGAGTCCATGATTATAAATTAAGTGCTTGATTGGTATAAAAATCAGCATAAGTACGGTATTGCTCATCTCTAAACGGCAGATTTAGTTAGGTTTAAGTTCTAATGAGCAACGAAACTTGATATGATATCAGGACTCTGGAATTTTTTTTAATAAAAAAAGTTTTATTATTAATTTTTTTATTGTCGTGGTATGAGTCACTGAAAAGAAAAAAAATATATTAATGATATTTTAACAAACGTTTACCGTTTGATAGCAAAACCATAAATTTCGTCTCTTTATCCAAGAAAGATTTTTAAGTAATATATAAGTCTTATTTTTCTAATCAAGGTCATTACCTGGCTTTCACAGATATCATCTATAATAACAAATGTAGATGGTACAATAAAGTAAACACACACAATTACAGACAAAAAGTTATTATTAAAAAAGACAATCTTCAATTCTAATTGTTTTATACCGAGAGTAGAATGCGCAAAAAAAAGAAGCTTATAGCATAGTAGGGAGACGCCAGTCAGAACAATTTCTGCACTTCTGTCACAGATACATTCAAGTCCATGACATTAAATAAAGTGCCCGATTGGGATAAAAATCAGATACGTACCACACTACTGCTCATTTCCAGATGGCAGATTTAGCTCAATGTGAAACCTGGAGGTTAAAGATCCACTGAGCAAGGAAACTTGAAGTGATGTCAAGACTCTGGAATTTTTTATTAAAATAAGTTGAAGCATAAGGTTGTCTGTATTGGTATATATACACATATAATTAGGGTTGTGTATAATTTTCTGTATGTTGCAACCGTTCATCCCCATATCAATAAATTAAAAAAAAAGCATTTTAATGTTTCAATGGTTTCATTTTATTTTGCATAATTTAGCAAACATTTTTGTTACTTAATGCAATGTCGACATTGTATACTAAAATGTTTTATAGTGATGCATGCATGTATTAGTTCTATGTGACCTCCATGTCATTTCAGATACTTTTTAATTGCAGTATCTTATGTCCATATAAGCGAGAATTTTTATAGCGTCAATGTCTGTTAATATTGTCATTTTGTGAATTTTAAATTTACCTGGTGGCAGTAAATTCAAAATTTACAACATGACAATAGAAACATTCTAAACAAGTAAAATGACTGCAAGTGAAATGTACTGGCATACATGTAAAGGTTTATGATGAGAAAAACGAAAAAGATAAACTGGAACGTAACAGTCATAAGAAGTGTGATATTTTGAAATGCATCTGTATTTTAAAAATATTTTCCTGTCTGCTCAAAAGATTTACAAAAATATATCAAAGAGGCTCACAGTTTAAACCCAAAACTTAATTTTGTGTTGATTTAAACAATAAGATGCTTTCTTTGGTTGTTAGTAAGGAAATTAATGTTGCAGTTGTTTAAAACAAATACATATGTTAATTTTTTCTGCAATAGCTGCAACATTATCTTCCATACATTAGTACTAATAAACAAAGACATTTTATTGTTTATATTTATAGCTGTATGAAAATCATTAAATACAGGTGTAAGTATATTAATTCTTGTTTTGATATGTATGGCATATTGCATGTTTCATTGATTGAAAAGCCACTACTCAAGGAATTTATATATACAGGTGACTTGTTTAGCAGTTTTTCAGTTTTTAAATAAGAAATAAAGGAGATAATATTCAGTGGATGAAAAGTTTTCCTAATAAACAACAAAATGGCAATATTCGCGTTTTTTTTTTAATAAAGATTAAGCTATTTTGCCTACTCAAGGTCATTACCAGACTTTCATCTAGGATAACAAAATGAAGATGGAACAATTATGTGAAAAAATGCACAATTGCAGGCAATTATTTATTATTACAAAAGATAACATCTGCGATTGTAATTGTTTTATCCTGAGAGTAAATGCGCAAAATGCAGCTTTGATCACAGTAGGGAGATGCTAGTCTGTACAACTTCTGCAAGAAATTCATAAATAGAGGAAGCAGAATTGTGAATGTGTATTTAATCTCGAAAGCCCAATGAAACGATACAAATTTGGAGCAGAGCAAACAGGGACCTCAAAATTTAGAGGTGGGATCAGATACCATGGAGGAGTGAGCATCCCCTGCCGACCGGTCACACCCACCGTGTGCTCCTTGTCATGATCGGAAAAAAAAACCCGGAAAAATCCGTAGGCAATTCAGTGTATGAATAATGGCCTAACAACTAGTATGAAAAACGCCAGTCAGCATTTGACTCAATGATAGGTTGTATGTATAGACAAAGTCATTGTGTCGACCATAAAATTTGCGAAAAGATGACTTCAAACGAAACTGTTGATAAGTTCAAAGACCAACAATAGAAATTAATACATTGTATTCATAGTACTTTAGTTCTTCCTTAGCTTTGCACACTTAAGGTCTTAATATCTTTAGTTTTAAAAAGACCCCTTTTGAAATTACAGCCAAAAGCTTAAATGATCATGATTCGATCTTTTTTTTCTTTCTCTTTCTGCTTTCTTTAGATCTTTTACAAGTTTCTTTATTTTCTTAAGTTGGGGACACAAATTCCTTGAATTACCTTGTTATGGTTACATCGTTGTCATTCAATATAGATGAACTTTTTTACTGCTTTCTTAAAAAAATCTTTCTGACTATATCTCATCTTATAACTTTATTCCTTTTAATAGAGGGCCTGAAAGTGGCATTTTGATTTTATTTTTAAGATTATAAATAAAATGGTTCATGTTTTATTTATACTTTTGCTCTTTTCCATTCGTTCTGATACATACTATGATAAATATTCATAAGCCTAATTAAGAAGATTTTGCCAGATAATCATCGCCATGGTTTATTTGATTTTATTTATTGATAGTGTGATTTTATAGCTAAATAAATGTTTATGACATTTATGGTACATTATTTACTGTTTTATAATTATTGCTCTTTATCTAAACAACTTGTACTATATAATACAAGGTTTTATTTCTGTCCCTGCGATACTCCCTAATATGGTGCGGTAAGTCCTCTCCAATTGAGAGTTGTGTGTACTTTATTTGGTGGTGTATATACATACCACGCCCCATGGTCATTATACTTGATTTGAATTATGAATTCCGTTGCAGTGCAATAATTGTTGCATTTTACACAAGATGGATCATTTCCCAAGATTTTTTTACTATAGTTACTTGAGATTTTTATGCTGGTGCAATTGGGAATTAATGGCTTTCAGTCTAAAGATATAGAAATTCTTTTCTGAAGAAACAAATATAGCCGTATAATTGAATGAGTTATTACGCAGCTCATGGCTTCTCCAAACATGATATTACTTTTTACGCAGTTCATGGCTTCTCCAACACATAGTTACAACAGTTTACTGATATTAGACGAAGTGAATGACATTATGCTAAAAGACACAAAGAAATATTAGGGACTTTCGAAAGTCAATTTTGTCCCGTGATTCTAAAAGACTCAAAGAAATTATGCACTTTTGAAAATCAATTATCTTTTACTTATAAATACTGTAAATCACTAATTTTCGTGGGGATGTAATTTTCGTAGTTTTTGAGGTACGAAGACACCCACGAATTAATGTCCACCGCGAAATGTAAAATGTCATATACTTTACAACTCAACAGTTCTTTCACGAAATCAAATCCCCGCGAACCTATAGTTTTCATCAAATAACAAAAATCTTACCACACGCAAATGTGCCATTTTACAGTATAAAAACCTACCAGTATACTCATTCTTTTATTTTACTTGTATGTCCCAATCAGCAAATCAAAAATCGTCTGAGACTTTTCGTCATGAATTTTAAAGAGAAATGTATAGGAATGTGCATTGCAAATAGAACTCAGATTTAGTATGAGCAATGACAATATGATGCGAAAATATCTGTGTATATTGCACTTAAAATGATTCGATGCATTTCTTTTTCAAAACATAATTTAAAAAATTGTTTAATTTCATTTGAATTATTATTGCATATTTGAAAATGTTATTGAAACTGAACAAACGAGCAATCCGTAATTGTTTTAAAAATGAGACCTTATGACTGAAATAAATGAATATGATCCTGGTTATTATAATTGATTTACGGGCATGACATTTTGTATTACCTGAAAATAGCCGTGACCAATTATTTAAAAAAAAAATCTTTAAAGATGTTACATGTATTTTCAAAACAACAAAGTGAAACTAAATGCAATCTTTTATTTCAAACACGTTAAATGCATAAAAATGAATCTGTTCACCGGTAGCTTTGTTTTCACTCGAGATTCGGAACGTATTCCTGGTTTCGTTGCGTATCTCTTATTTCTGGAAGGCAATACACTCTTGTATTGTGTCTGTGTCCTCGTCGCCAATCTGAATCAAGTTGAATCCATGTTCCTCTACCTTTTCCTTCCTCCGTTCGTAGCCCCATCCTACACCTAGTCCTCCCCCAGAAGGACCAGAAGAACTCATAGGAAGGCAGGAAAATAGACTCAATGGCATAAAGAACTGCGCTGATTTGTTGTCAATCAGCTTTTGGTGGTATGATGACACCGGAGGGTCGTACGCTGCCCCATGTCCGTCTGGTTTAAGGACTCGCTTTGTTTCCTCCAAGATGTCGTCTACTTCGTATGAATCATGAAGAACGTCCACCAATATGACGAAGTCAAACTTTTCCGCCCAATCGTTTGGAAGGTGTCCTCCTTTCATACAAAGAAATTGGAGGTTTTTCTGACCGCCTTTTGAGAGTTCTTTATTTGCGTGATCTATGGAGACTTGATCCATGTCAATGCCGATTACAGTACTTTCAGGGTACCGTCTTGCTATCTCTCTAGTAAGCCTACCGTAACCACACCCAAGATCTAGCAGTGTGAATTGAGTTCCTGTTATATGAAAATATCCTCGATGAAATTTCATGAAATTTATATTTTCCAAAGGTATTGAATGTTGAGGATTCTTGATTAAGCATAGTGTTACATATATTATATGAATATGAACCTGGTTTGAGGTCCAGGACAGGAATCAGCTGGTCATGAATCCACGTCACTTCCGGGTTGTGATAGGTACCCCACCACTCGAGGAAAGGGTCGTAGTAGCCATAACCTTCAATGGTTAATTTTTATAATATATAGAGAGACAATATATATTCTAAGATTAATTTCATGAACATTGAATTAGAAAAAACAATGGCTGCAAAATGACCCATCGTTATAAACTGACATGTAGCTATGTTTTTGTTCAATTCCAATTATAAAGTTTATAGTCATAGTTTAATGTCACACTTTAGTGCACAAGTTTATATTCAAGAAATAAAGTTTGCATTGTTGGTGAATATGCCAGGATAACCTCTGAGGTCGAGAAACGCTGTGTGAAATATAACAGACGAGACGTTAGCCGAGGCTTTTATACTTTAAACAATATTTCGAGACCGAAGAGGTTCTCCTGCATCATCGACGACAACAAAAACTTTATTTCTATTCTACCAACAGCTCTTAAATATGACTGATTGTTTCTTCAATATTTAACACCAAAGGGTCAACTTATTTGTTTATTTGTACATCGCAGACGATTTGAGCTTTCACTGGATTAAAAATATCTTTTAACCATTTATATATATTGTTTTAACATAATTAAATTAATATTTATTATTATAAAATTGTCAAATCAGTTGCGATTTTATTGCTTTATCAGTAAAATCATGGAGTGTAAGAATTTTAGGGAGATCCACGAAACAGCCCACTTTAGGTAAAAAAAAAGAAGGTTTATCAGCTGATCTTATAATCTTTTGGTGACATCCGTGATTTATTGGTGAATAATGTTTGATTTCGGTAATAACTGCCGTAGGATCTCAGGTAACCGTTGATTATGTGCATAAAAAATGGGGTGCAATATTTGTTGTCAAGAGCCCAGCAGGTTGTTTATTTCCAAATAAGATCGAATTCAAAGACCAATGGAATGAAAATTAATTTATTGTTTGTGCCATTTGAAAAAATAATGAGAGGAACTATTTCTATTATTTTTTCTTCATTGGGTTCAACAATAATTTCTGATTGCATGCTGTTTCGTTCAGGTGGCCAAGGTTTGGGCAATATATAAGACGAATTCATTGCGGTTTTTTTTTTCGTAATATCCCCTTTATCAGTTTATCATGTCCAACAACCTAATTTTAGTTTGACATTTTTGCCCTGGCCTATTCGAGTCTTCCGCAACCTTCAAAGAAGGCGATTTTCATTCATATTAAATTCAAACAACAAAACCATAATATTTTTTTTATCAAATATCTCGATATACAATAGTATATCATTCAAAATAACAAAAGACGCTGATGTCCACGAGCCTTTTTAGACAGCCTTTAAACACAAACAAACCTCGTGGTCCGTCTTCCGGAAGAACATTCTCTAGACGAGGGAACATCTCACTCAGAACTGGGAGTGCTGCAGCGATATTACAGCATTCCTTTATCATAGAATCCTCGTACGGAAGTGAATATTTGCCGTCCTCGTGAATTCGGACGATTCCTGTCGAGATTAGACATCCCAACCATTCTTGTATGTACCTGTAATTAAAAGAAATCTTTATTGTACTTTAAAGATATACACGCTATATAAACGCGATTTTTTTATGTGAAACAAAATTATTAAATGATTTGAGACACATGATGTGTAATAAAAATAATTACTTTCCACAAAATTTTACTAAATAGGTCCTTGTAATTACAAAACAATTAAGCAAGATCTGCAATTAAGAATTCAGCCTATTCATGAATATTGATGAAGGAAGTGCGTAAACAGTATATAGACACGCATGTCCGCGGGAAATCATAGACAACGAGGTACGTTGCATTTTGACTACGATTTTGAATAAAAGTTCAAATCTGTCATTACAGAGTAGATGGTTAATACTGGTTGTTTTTAAAGATAAGTGTCTTTAAGCATAAAACCTATGCCATCCATGTTAAAAGTTATTTTATATACCAAACGGCCTACCTCGTTTTCTTGACGCCATTTTTGTTTATCAATCTAAAAGTAGCGACGGTGTCACATGATGCATGGATTTAAATATAGGCATTACTCTTCTAGTAGGATAATAAATAATTATAATTTGATATCTTTATAATGCGTTCATTTCCAATTGTGTAATTTACAATATCTTCATAACTTTATTTGGTAAACAAAAAATAAATAAATTTCCAACTTTATCTTTTAAGTGACGCAAGTTATAGCGTGTATATCTTTAATGCTCTTGAATTTTTTTTCGTTTACACGAATTTTGCTCAATTCTCATTTCCAAGATACCTACTAAATTAACCGTTAACAACTGTTTTATTATTATCAAGGGTCATGATTTATTCGTTATTTAAAGATATCAAGACTAATTATTCATGTAAAAGGAGTCATGTATAATTAAAATTCATGAAATATTCAATGCTTAAGTTCAACTTCAAAATTATGCTTATGATATATAACCTTTTTTCTTTATTATAAAACAGACAGGACAAAAAAGACATAAAGTATAAAGCGTACATAATCGTAAAATAATAGTAAACATACTTCAAGGTAATAATTCAATTAAGATCAAAACACTAATATTAAAGATGACCGAAATTTTTCATTCTTATTTTTGATCAACAAATTGAAACTTAATCATTTAGTATATAAATTTCTTTAGTTCGTATTTATTAGAACTGTCAACAGTCACATTTATTTAATTTGAATAGAAATATGATTGTTTTTGCGCTCTGTTCCAAAGAGATTCATTCTATGTTTTTTTTTTTTTTTTTTTTTTTTTTTTTTTTTTTTTGTTTTTTGTTTTTTTTTTTTACATTCATTTGTTTTATTATAATATTAAGAAAATCAAGATATTTCTTTAAATTCAACATTCTATATTATTCATGTTCATACTTAAAAAAATTTTTAAGTAGTTTGTTCGCAAATTACTAGTATTCCACCTTTTTAAGTTGTACACATTTGTGTATTTGGTGAGTTCGAATCGTTGCTGGAGTGCAAATATTTATTATATGTGATACTGTCATATATTTCAAAGTGTTATTTACTCTGTTTGATTAAGAAAAAGTCTCACTTCTGTTTGTGCATTGATCGTTCCATCACTAGTATCATTATGTTTATTGTTCGCCCATAATATGCTTAAATACATATCAGGCCCAAAGGAAGCAATTTCAGTTTAAGGGGCACAGCCATACATTTTCAGTTGAGGGGGCGATATCAACTACCAAAAATATCTTGACAAGCAAAAAAAAAGAAAAAAGAAAAAAAAAAAGGGACATCAGACGTTTTTATTGAGGGGGCACAAGCATATAGTATCTATGTTTTCTATAGTAATCCATATATCGGCAAAATTATAACATTTACATTTATGTCGAGAAAATGGCAATTGTAAACAGCGATTTATATTAAATCTTCACTATTTGCAAACGGAGTAAATTTCCACGAACAGAATGCAAATTTTAAGAAAGACTTGATTTTTTCTTGTTACCTTAGGTTTGAAAATAAACAAAAAGTCTCTTTTCCTGAGCATTTTAACGATTTGAAATATAAAATTAAAGCCTAAAAGAGATAAGTCACTATTAACTTTGATATATCTCAATCTGATACGTAAATTTTGTTCCTGTCAGTTTTCAAAATTGAGCATGTATTACAGTTAGCTGTTTTTCAGTAACACTAAAATGTAGAACTTACCTTAACTTTTTACCTGTCTTCTTACTAAGTTCCTCTGCGGTGCAAGGATGTATTTTGATAAATTCATCAATTATTCCCACTTTGTTTCCAAAAGCCAGCACAAGCGTGCTCAATCCGTCTCTGACTACCTTCTCTAAATCTCGGGGAGATGACGCACTCGACATTGTTAGGGAAAGTAAATGTCGAAGATATCATTTGCTAGGTATGCAACTAGAGTGCACTTGGTAATGTATGGAATCCAATTCATGCTATGATTTCCTTGCAATTATCAAGGTTTAGGAAAGCTGGTTTGCGGAGCAGATAAAGGGATACAATAATTGGAAGTTGTCGCCGTTTCTTTTGAGCAATAGCATGTGTACATATAACGGAAGAGTAAATATAATTAAATGAATTTTATAAGGATTTTTTTAAAATTCCCATGGTAATTGATAGGACGTTATAATGAACCTCTTGAATAGGGAAGGAATATCTATTTAGAACAAAGTGTGTTTGTGAAACACTGATGCCCCCGTACAGCAACTTTTTGCGAAGGTTAAACTTTCTGAAATGCAAATCAAATATGTTGGTACCCAAAGTAAGGTCTTGTCCCAAGGAATATGTGTGTGAAATATGAATGCATTGAAAAGATATGGAAGATGTTAAAGTTTTTCAAAAGTAAGTCAAACATCAGGATCAAAGTCAAATGTCAAAATTAATGGTGCCCAAGGAAAGGCCTTCTCACAAGAAATACACATGTGAAATATGAAAGCCCTAGCACCAACCGTTCAAAAGATATGGCCAAGGTTATAGTTTTTCAATAGGAGATCAAACTCCAAGGTCAAGGTCAAAGGGTAAAAGTTGTTGGTATCAAAAGTAAGATCTTGTCACAAGGATTACATATGTGAAGTATAAAAGCCCTAGCATTAACCGTTCAAAAATTATGGCCAAGGTTAAAGTTTTTCAAATGTAGGTCAAACTCGTATGTCAAGGTCAAAGGGTAAAAGTTTTTGATATCTAAAGGAAGGTCTTCTCACAAGGATTACACATATGAAGTATAAAAGCCCTAGCACTAACCGTTCAAAAGTTATGGCCAAGTTTAAAGTTTTTCAAAAGTAGCTCAAACTCCTAGGTCAAGGTTAAAGGGTGAAAGTTGTTGGTCTCCAAAGGAAGGTCTTGTCACAAGGATTACTCATGTGAAATATGAAAGCCCTAGCAGCATCTGTTCAAAAGTTGTGGCCAAGGTTAAGTTTGGTAAAATTTTGTAAAACTGGGTCAAACTCCAAGGTCAAGATCAAAAGGTCAAAGATGATGGTACCCAAAGAAAGGTCTTGTCACAAAGAATATACATGTGAAATAAACAAAAGTTATGAGTAATGTTAAAGTTTTTGCGGACAAACAGACAAACAGATGAACAGAGAAACAGACAGACAGAGGGACGGACAGGACAAAAACTATATACCCCCGAATCTTCGATACGGGGGCATAAAAAACATATATACCTGCATTTCATTCAAATGAGATAATGTATCGATAAAGGGATATAACAAACGCTACAAGTTTCATCAATCACAACATGTTGTTCATGGGTTTTGATTACCCGTGCGTAACTATGTTACCACGTGTATTTGTTACCTGCGTTATCATGCGTTTTAGTTTTTATCGACATTTTGGTTTTTAAAAATCATTCAGATGACTATCGAACTTGCTGTAGATGTGGAAAGATATTATTTCGTCGACCTAAATTTACACATTTCTTACCGTCCACTGGCTTTTCGCCACGATGTGTTATCCCTTCGGAAAGAAGATCTTGGGGTGTTCATGCACTCATCGTAATAGCATAGAAAGTCATTCGACGTTTATAGTCAAGAACTTTTAATAACTGCACTTGTTTTGATTAATCATCTATTAATTATTAAATCTAACTGTTTTATATAGACCTATCCTGTTGTTCGTGAAGAGAATACACAACGCTGATTAATGTTGTTCCAGCTATGGTATGGATTAAACGGATATAGACAAGGGAGGTAACTTTTATTATATACCAATTCTGCGAATTCAACAACCGCGATCGTGTCAGAGTAGAGAAAAACGTGAAAATTACAACCCGTGAAATTAAAACCCTATACAGTATATAACACAAGCCTAGACATTATATATATAATGAATTCTGATTTTTTTTTTTTCATGGTAATTGATGGAACTTTATATTGGACTTCTTGAATAGCGGAGGAATATCAATTTAAAAATACAAAAAACAAACAAACAAACAAAAAAACTTTCCATGTATTTCATTCAATTGTAATAATATGTCGATAAATGATTCATAGTGATCCACCTTTTGTTCTTAATATGGACTCATTAATGTATTTACATTCAAACAATTCATATATGAACAATGCTTCTTTAGTTTATTAACGCAAAAATCCCAATTTTTTAAAATTTTATAGTTTCCATCAATTACATTGAGTAAGCTTGATGATTCGTGACATTCTCTCTTAAATATTTTAAAAGACTTCTTCACAGATGTGTCGTCTGTGATTTTACACAACACAGAGCATTTAAGATAAATGTTTGTATTTGTTTAGTAGCAATTTTTGGGCTGGGTAATACTGCATTTTACTTTAATGACAATAAAGTTTAATTTTTTCAAGTCTTGCTAAATATTATATCTAATCTCATACCTTTGTTAACATATCTTTATGCGTATTTTTCTAATGTGCGTTATTAATAATTCTTGAGCATAGTACGCAGTTTACGAATTTTTGAAACAAGAGAGGTAACTTTTATTATATACCAATTCTGCGAATTCAACAACCGCGATCGTGTCAGAGTAGAGAAAAACGTGAAAATTACAACCCGTGAAATTAAAACCCTATACAGTATATAACACAAGCCTAGACATTATATATATAATGAATTCTGATTTTTTTTTTTTCATGGTAATTGATGGAACTTTATATTGGACTTCTTGAATAGCGGAGGAATATCAATTTAAAAATACAAAAAACAAACAAACAAACAAAAAAACTTTCCATGTATTTCATTCAATTGTAATAATATGTCGATAAATGATTCATAGTGATCCACCTTTTGTTCTTAATATGGACTCATTAATGTATTTACATTCAAACAATTCATATATGAACAATGCTTCTTAATGTAATTAGCTGCTTGCACAGAGGGGATATGACATAACTCCGTTTTTTCTTTTCTTTTCTTTTTTTAATTTGCTTATTCTTATACCAGTTATGTGTTACTGAAAGGAACACATGGGGTTTTTTAAAATAAAAAAATGTAGAAGGTAAAGAAACAATGATCTAGAGTAAGTGCAGGATACAACTTAAGACAATGATTAACTTCATTTGATGTGGCATAAATCATCTTTTAATGTGGCGAAAAAAATTTCAGAAGAGCTAAAAGATATCCAAAAGGTTCATTTTAAGCGTTCTTTATGTGCCTTAAGCAAGTGGTGAAAGTTAGTCTTCAAGTTTCTACTTTACTTCATTTTAGTCTTATCCATAAATAATATATCAATGGAGCTTAAATCCTGATTTTTGTCAAATATTCCTGATACAGGAATACTTAACAATAATACTTAACATAAATGATATTTTAATTAACACAGGTGCAAAAATCATTTCCTTGCAATACACACGGCCGTAGGAACCGGGGGAGGGGGGCACAAGCCTGCCCCCCCCCCCCATTATTTTGCCGATATATAGAATACTATAGAAAATATAGCTTACTATATGCTCGTGTCCCCTCAATAAAAACGTCCGATGGCCTTTTTTTGTTTTGATTGTCAAGGAATTTTTGGTAGCTGATAGTGCCCCCAAACTGAAAATGTATGTCTGCCCCCCCCCCCCCCCCCCAACTGAAATTGGTTCTTACGGACCTGATACATGTGTTTTATATAAATTGAATGTAAAGAAGTTATACAGAGAACATTTATCATTGATCTTACGTTCAAACCCAGTAAAAATAAATAATTTATCAGTGACTTTATTCTTTAACAATCCATGTTTATTTCCTAAAGAATTAACTTTGAATTTTTACTCATTTTAGATTTGAGGTGTTTACATTTCAGGTGATACAAAAACCCGCCGTACACTGTGCCAGACTTTGACCTAGACACATCGATACGCAGTGCTTTTTTAACAATTTATTGAAATTTAGGTTAGCGTGCCGGGTATCGTTTCAAAAATTCGTAAACTGCGTACTATGCTCAAGAATTATTAATAACGCACATTAGAAAAATACGCATAAAGATATGTTAACAAAGGTATGAGATTAGATATAATATTTAGCAAGACTTGAAAAAATTAAACTTTATTGTCATTAAAGTAAAATGCAGTATTACCCAGCCCAAAAATTGCTACTAAACAAATACAAACATTTATCTTAAATGCTCTGTGTTGTGTAAAATCACAGACGACACATCTGTGAAGAAGTCTTTTAAAATATTTAAGAGAGAATGTCACGAATCATCAAGCTTACTCAATGTAATTGATGGAAACTATAAAATTTTAAAAAATTGGGATTTTTGCGTTAATAAACTTCTTTAACAGTTTTATCATTTGTGGTAAAATTTTAGAATGATTAGCCAAGTCGTTTACATGATAACCATATATCAAAGTAAGTAAAATACACGCTTTAGAAAAATTCAGATTCAGTCGATTTGCAGGACTTTTGCATAGTACAACAAATAAAAAATCAATAAATATTAATAAAACTGATTAAAACAATTTTTGAAAAACTAGTATTTTTATATTTTGTCTGCATGTGAACAAGAACTTTTAAATTTCTATTAGTTTCTCTATATGTATACACATAGCCTATTTTTGACCCTGATTCAGTGACTGAATTCTTAAAACAACAAGAAAATGAATATCTGATGCTATTCTTCAAAAGGAGAACATTAATATGTTGACGGTGCGACCGTAAGGGCGAGCGCAGATACCTATATTCAGTTTTATTTAGATCGGCTCTTCAAATCGCACGTGACATTTAGTACGTCTAGACTCTGACATCACAAGACGTCGCTTGTAAGTTTCATTACCAAACGAAGTCTGAACAGTGCTAATTTTAATAAAGAAGGTTTAATCTACAATGTACTGTTTATCTGCTATACATCCATCAAATCAAGGTGAGTTTATTTTTTTCTTGGAACTTCTTGTTACCACGAGAACGTTGTTTGCGGCGAGATGCAATTCGCAAAGCATTATGGGACCACAGGTAACTGCGGAAAAAAAAATCGTTTGGGTCAATGTGCAAAGTCCGAATTTTCTCTTCGCCCAGACGTTGCTAATATGTTGACGGTGCTACCGTTAGGGCGAGCGCAGATACCTTTCAGTTTTAATTAAGATCGGGCTCGTCAAACTGCACGTGATATTTGCTACGTCTAGACTCTGACGTCATATAACGTCGTATGCAAGTTGCATTACCAAAACGGAGTCTATTCAGTGCTTATTTTAATCAAGAACGTTTAATCTACTATTTATCTACTATATATCCATTAAATCGAGGTGATTTTATTTTTTGTTGAATTTTTGTTGCTACCGCGAGAACGTAATTTGCGACGAGATGCAATTCGCTAAGCATTATGGGACCACAGGTAACTGCGGAAAAAATTCATTTGGATCAATGTGCAAAGTCCGAATTTTCTCTTCGCCCAGGCGTTGCGCGGTGACGAGCGGCTTATTTCGCGCCGCTCGCTGCGCTCACTATAAGAGCTCGCAGAAACGAGCGGCGCTTTGCGCCGCTCGCTATATCTGTTTATATCAAAATTAATATTGAGAAGGATTCTTAAGTGGGCTTAAATTGAAAAGATTTTTTATCATACTGATGGGTACTTTTCCCATCTTTTATTGTAATGAATTACCTCCCTTGGAGGTTCTTCTGTGATAGAAACAAAAAATGTCGGCAACCTTTGGATGTTCTGGAGCACTGTCAGGCTCAAGGAAAATTCATGTTGTTTCAAGAGGGAAAAAGATTCATAACCTTGGAATCTTGTCAACAACAAAACCCTTTCAAAAATCAGGTAATACAATTTAAAAAAAATATTTATTTCCAAAAGCGATCACTTTCTTCCTTATCCGAATTTTCTCTATTCATCTGTTAACAGTAAACTGGTAACTAAATGCATGTAAAATCCAAATGAATTAGTTTCCATTGCTTATTATCCAACAATTCGCAACACACATTAATTTATAAATATTTTTCCTTTTTGCAGAAGTAGGCAGAAACAATTATATTCAGTTGATGCAAATATTTTAATAAAATGAATAATACACAGCTGATTCAGTGGCAATCAAGACCGACACCTATCGGACTGGTACATGTAGGTATTTTCTCTATATTTATTGTTATTGAAATGCCTAATATACCTATGTACATGTTATAATCAAAGATTTTTTAATCATTATTTAAATTTATTTTAATTAACAGTTTAAAATGTTCTTAAAGTTAAACATTAATTTGTATAAAATTAATACATTTAAAAAAAAAAAAAAGAAATTCAGGTTGCGGATCAAAGATTTTTTTTTTTTTTTTTTTTTTTTTTTTTTTTTTTTTTTTTTTTTTTTTTTTTTGGTGGATGGAGTGGGGATGGGGTGTTTTACATTAACTTTAACAGATGCCAAACATAAAAATTTTGACATGCAAGAAAAAAAAATTAAAAATCCCTGAAAAGTCTTCAATTTCAGGAGGGGGGGGGGGGTGAAAAGATACCGCCTTAAGTCAATTCTTTCAAATATATTACTATGCTTATCAATATAAGAGGGATCCTTGTTTCCTCGACAAAGGTCATTTTACTGTTACTTTTACTATGAAAGTCCGTAGATCAGATTTGCACATAGAAATTGCAAATTAATTTTACAAGGTGACAGTGTCAAACTGATTTGTTTTTAGATAAAAGATAATGCATGAATGTAATATAAATGTATTTCTGTCCTTTTTAGCTCTACAAAAGTCAAGAAAAACTCTTGTTAGCAGCAGTACAGAACTTCATATAAATTATACAGGGTAGCTCTACATGCTGCAGATACAAGCACTCTACAGATTCACCAGAATATTTAAAAAATGCTACTAGCATCTAGAAAAAAGACAATTTAGCCTTTTGCAGTTATTCACTGGTATTAACAGTCATTAATTTATAAGTAGAAAGACTTATTAAATAAAAACAGAAATATAAATCACTATTTATTTATTTGTTGTTTATGTCTCTGATCAGATGAAAAGAAATACTGTAAAATATATAATTTTTTCTTAATTTTGAGGGGTCAAATTTACAAGGTTTGGGAAAAAATATTTAATTTCATAGTTGAAGAAGTGTGGCATTGTTAAAATTTACAAAACTCCATAAAATTAATGTTTCCACGGTACAATACTGCATCATAATGTACATGCCCATGCATATAAAACCTTCCAATAGTGATCACTGACTTTTAATTCCTACCGTCCATTAAAAAGAACCATGTTGCTTAAATGTATTTTATTTCCTCCAATATTTCTCAATTTTCAAGTTAAATGGATGTGTGTCATAACATTTTGACATTCACGGAAATGTCAGTATAATTACAGGCATATTTTCAAGGTCAAACCTATAATTATAATTTTTTGTATACTTTCATAGAGAACAAAACAAAGAAAAACTGGAGACCAACACCTTCAGGTTGATATTGCGGAAGATTTTCACGTGTGGATACCGAACGGTATTCAATAGGGTTTGTACTTAAAGTTGTAAACTAAAAGATATAAAACAGATCACCAACACTTTGTGAGAATGCAGCAGTGAATTTAAATTCACTGCTGCATTCACACGAAGCTAGTGTTGGTGATCTGTTTTATATCTTTAAGTTTACTTTCATAGATAGAATGAAGAAATTATCTATTGAAACCAGTATCACTTATATTAGGCACAGATGGATCTTAAGATAATGTAAATATATTATCATGTATAATAATTATTGTATTTTTTTTCATTTGCACCTTTTAGCTCACCTGAGCTGTAAGCTCAAGTGGTTACATTTGTTCAGTGTTCGCCTGTCTGTCCAGTTGTAAACTTTTTGACCTCCTCTCCAGAACCACTAGGCCAATTTCAACCAAAAGTGTTACATAGAATTCCTGGGTAAAGGAAATCCAAGTTTATTCACAGAAAGGCCACACAATCTTTCAAGAGGGAGAAAACCATCATTTTCATATATGTAAAAGTTGTGTACTATGAACACTTTTTATAACCAATAAAAGAAAACAGGAGGTTACAGGATGTGTTTGTGAAACCCTGATGCCCCCGTATGGCAGCTTATGGCGAGGGTTGAATTCTTTCAAATGCATGACAAACTCCAAAGGTCAAGGTTAAACGGTCAGAAGTGTTGGCACCCAAAGAAAGGTCTTGTTACAAGGAATACACCTGTGAAATATGAAAGCCCTAGTTCTAACTGTTCAAAAGTTATGTCCAAGGTTAAAGTTTTTAAAAAGTAGGTCAAACTCTTAGGTCAAGGTCAAAAGGTCAAAAATATTTAAACCAGCTGAAAGGTCTTGTCACAATGAATACACATGTGAAGTATGAAAGCCCTAGCTCCAACTGTTCAAAAGTTATGGTCAAGGTTAAAGTGTGGTATTTTTTTTGTAAAAGTAGGTCAAACTCCAAGGTCAAGGTCAAGAGGTCAAATTTGGTGGTACCCAAAGAATGGTCTTGTCACAAGGAATACACCTGTGAAATATGAAAGCCATAGCCGAATTCATTCAATAGTTATGGGCTAGGTTAAAGTTAACAACAGACAGACAGACAAACAGACAGACAGGACAAAACAATATACCTTCGTGATCTTTCGATCCGGGGGCATAAATATTTTAAGTTTTCATCTGAAGCTTGATGATTCGTGACATCCTCTCTTAATAGTTAATACGATATTGTAGTGACATTTTTTTTTCTTTTTCTTTTTTTTATTGAAGAATTAACTTGGGGCGTGATGAGGGGGGATTCTTTCTCGCCTAGCTATGGAGAACTGCATGCATGCATTTTGATGTCTTGAAACCTCGCCTTCAAAGATAGATTTAGTAAATGCACATGCCTACAAACGTTTCATATTCTAAATATATATTTTAAAAAGCAAAAAAAAAAAAAAAAAAAAAAAAGATTCCTACTAAATATTTGTCAACAAAGAAAGAAACTTTCCTATATACATGTATACGTATTAACCTTAGATAAACAAGTTACACTTGCTATAAAATTAGTGAAGTTCAGGTGCTACCTAGGGAAAAAATCTGTATGATGTGAGATATTTAAGGTTTATTGATACTCTGACAATAGAGATAACTCATAATGACATAAATGTCTATCATTCCTTTATAAAATTGTCAAGCTGAAATGTCTTTTTTGTTTAAATTTGTCCAGTAAGCTATGATATAATTGTCTGTATTTTACTTATAAAATACATTTGCTTTGGAAAATCATAAGAGTTAAAGCAAAATTTAATTTGAGTGAGCAGAGAGTTTATGAAAAAGTCTGCATGATGTGAGATAGTTAACATTAATAACTCAGGGGACTTTTTGTGTTGAAGTAGGAGAGTGAGTACAATCTGAATAATGGGAACATTTTAATTTTAAACGTGATGCACATGCTTCATAACTGGTCATCAACGTACAAAATAGAATGATTATATACCGTAAATGAGTATGATAATACATTTGCTCTTTTCAGACGGGGTGAATTTTTCTTTCATGGGTAGCTAAACCATTACTTAAGATATCATAAAAGACAATGATAAACATTTTACTAGTCTGTTTAATTAATAAACACTTGTGGAATTGCGTTTAAAAATATTGATACCAAATATGATAAAAGGTTAAAAATAGCACCGAAATGAAATTGAGTCAAGAATTCCATTCACTGAAATTATCGTAGTATTCACCATGACAATTATTTACGAATTAATTTTAGAAAAAACAATTCCTTCTTGCACTGTGTCAATATCCTTTTTGCCGACCTTTATTACTCGAAATCCATGTTCTTCTATTTCCTGTTTCCGACGCTCGTAACCCCAACCAACACCGCGTCCTTCCCCCGATGGACCCGATAAACTGACCGGAAGACAATTGAAGAGGCCAAAGGGCAAATAAAACTGCGCCGACGGGTTGTTAGCTTGCTTTTGAGGATATGAGCTTACAGGGGGGTCATATGCCATTCCGTAGCCATCTGGTTTGAGGACTCGCTTCGTTTCTTTTAGAATTCCATCGACGTCGTATGCATCATGAAGTACATCGTTTACTATGACGAAATCAAATTTTTCAGTCCAATCCTGTGGGAGTTGTCCACCTTTCATATGGGTATAGATGATGTTCTTCTGCTCATTTTCTTGAAGTTCTTTGATGGCCTGATCTATGGAGACTTTATCCGAGTCGATACCGTAAATAGTACAGTTAGGGTACAATTTGGACACTTCTCTTGTATGCTTACCATAGCCACAACCAATATCTAACAGTGTAAACTCGGTCCCTGTGTAGAAGAGAAATGTTTGAACTTATATTAAAATTTATAAATTATTGTTAAGTAATATGGTTATTTTGAATATTCTCAATTTCAAACCTGGTTTAAGTTCTAATACAGGAAGCAGATTGTTTTTGTTCCACTCCTGAAGAGCTTCCGGTGTGCGGTATGTGTCTACCCACGCAAGAAAAGGGTCATAGTATCCGTAACCTGAATAAAAAGTAACGAGAAATTGCATTCGACATAGCGTCTGTTACCTGTACAAGAAAGAATATAATCAGATAGCTTTATATTTACTGACGCGTGCTGGGAAATCGATTAATTGTAGTAAATCGCTCTACTAAATTATTTTTCTCTCTTATGGAGACATCACTAGCTGGTGAAAAAACAAAATCTAGACATGCTGTAGATTAAGGCTAACAATGCAGTTAGGGGTAATAATTGTGCCAGCACCTACAGTAATAAAGGGCACTCAATTTTGAAAGTCCAGTCCGACAGAACCATGATTAACATTTGCTAATGTTGTTTGTTTGGAGAGGAATAGTGGCTTCCTATTTTACATCGTTTGTCTTACACCAGAACCTTCTGGAATCGAACTCACAGACTTCTGCAAGCAGATGTTTTACCAATAATATGAACTTGAGGTCCTATGTTAAGTGAAAAAGCTTTTTGCTCTATACCCTCTCTGATCTATTGTAACTAAAACTGTGAATAAAGCATAAACATAAAGTGGATCTGAAAAATTCCTGATCATCTCGCCTCTTAAAGAAATAACTAAATCATTAGGTTTGTCTTCCTAGGATACCATGCCATATTATTCTTTTGATTATAATCTTAAAAGGTTTAAATGTTTGGGTAGTAAGTAGATCTTCCGATTTGGCTATAAGTTACGTCATCCATCACACAAATTTAACAAATCTTCTGTTTTGTTGAAATATTTGTTTTTAAATAGACCATCGGCACATTTTAGGCCATTTTAAGAAATAAGGCACCTACTGATAGACATATTATTATATTCATTTCGTTTGTCAGAATTCTATAAAATGTTGTGATGATGAAATGTCTTAATGTCTTTCGATGTAAATCTGACATTTTCAGATATCATGCTGCACGTAACATCGATAATATTTGGTGTCCCTACCAATATCAATCGACCAGTTTGGCCGTTATATTTTAACTCTCCTTTTTTACTTTTGAATTTTTGAATCAGTCTGAAAACTTTACAGCGTTAAAGACTACTCTTTCCACATATAAATATATATATATTTAATATGAGTTCTTCGGCGATTTGTGTATAGAAGCACAGTTTTCACATACGTTCTCATTTTCATCTTTGTGGCAGAGATCATTTCAAACCGTTTTCAGCTCAGTGAAGTGACCATGCTTACTTTAAAAGAGAATTTCTTTGCAAGGTCAATAGGAAAAATCATGGGGTTTTCTGTGATTAGGAGCTCTTTAATGGAACTTTTCAATTATGAAATAATAAAATTTAACAGATCTACATTTATTATGATCTACTGTTTGTTGTATTATTTATTGAACGACCCTCGTACCAGATAATACTAGTATCTGGCAATGAAGTTTAACAAAATCTGTAATTGATAAATGACTTCATATTTTCTTGTTTTATTACATCAGTTACTGGTATTCATTTTCCTCGATCAACGTCTAGCTTCAACATCTGAGTAGATGTATATTTACATATAACAAATTATTAAAAACAATAAGTAATTTTTGCGTCGTTATAGCTGATGAAAACACTAAACACAGCGTTACGTATTACGATACAAGTTAAGCTATAAGTTGAACATTCATACGTTTTCTCACTAAATTTTATCATTTCAGGATAAATATCTAAAGATTAGAAGATAAGTGTTATAGATTTTTGTTTTTGATCGAGGTATCAAAGGAAAACTTTTTAATTCATTTCAAAATTCTTTGATGTGCTAAAACAATTTTGAGTAGTTAAAGACTCTTCTGAGATGTGAGTTTATATAACACAAACAAACCCCTTGGTCCATCTTTTGACATGACTTTCTCCAGCTGAGGAAACATTTCGCTAAATATAGGGATCACATTTGCAATTAAACCATACTTTTTAAGCAGGGATTTCTCAAATGGAAGTGAATATTTGCCGTCTTCGTGAAGTTTGACGATTCCTGCCGAGATCATGCAGCCAAGCCATTCTTGTATATACCTATTATAGAATGAATTTTCTCATATAGACTTGGTTTTACAGTATGTTTAATAAACAAGGTTTATTAATACTAAAAAGCAAGAATTTGAGATGAATTAAGAGGTAAGTGTTTAAAGAAAAAATATATTTTTTCCGTTTTTAAATGTCAAATATACGAGTATGTTTACCACAAACTTCTATATTTGGCTATTTAAATATGATACAGTGCATGACGTTTTAAAATTTCTCAATTCAGAGTATAAAGTTATAGATAAGCTTCATTCTCTTTTTCTACAAAGTAATATATTTAAACTAAAATATTTATAATAGATATGAAAAACCTGTCAGGTAAACCACAGTTAAAATAGATTGATACTGAATGTTTATGTAAAATTATTAATGACTAAGCTTCCTGTAGCTTTATATAATGAACACCCGATTACTTTTGCATAATAAACAAAGTATTTATATAGCATAAGCATATACACTTTGCCGGAATAGTGCACATGCATTCATGCTAGTGAATGATTGTTAAATTTAAAGAGATCAACATCTAAATAAAAGAAACATAATCTACTCACAGTTTCACAATTAATTCATTGCATACGAACTGACACACAAATTATTACATTTTTTTTTTTCATTTTCATAGAACAAACACGTTTACTACATAATTTCAATTTCATATAATCATACCGAATTGTATAGCTGGGTATTGTATCTTGTATCTTACAAAAGATATAGTTACATGTGTGTAGTAATATCTGCTATCTAATCTAAGAAGCCCCTAACACTCCTTGTAAGGATTATTAAAAGGGGGGTTTTGCCTTTGTTCCCAACTTCTTTTACATGTAACTCAAAATTTATAGACTTCTCATGTAGGGAGAGTGCGAAATTAGTTTTAAGAACTTGTGCCCAATTCCATTGTATATATATTACAATAAAATTATTCAATACAAACTTTTGATTGTTTTCAAAGAAAACATTGTAAATGATTATTTAAAAAGATTACGTGGGTAATATATGAGTGGTCTAGTATCGTAACAAATAGTTATCGGGTAATTCCCACTTTAACTGATAAAACAATAAAAAAAAAAAAAAAAAGCATGGCTTACCTTAACTTTTGGCCTGATTTTTGACTGAGTTCCTCTGCAGTGCAAGGATTTTTGAATTCAATGAAGGCGTCAATTATTCCAACTTTGTGACCAAAAGCAAATACAAGAGTGCTCAGTCCATCTCTTACAATTTGCTCTAAATCCCGAGGAGAATTAGATGCCATTATGGTATAAGCTAATGGACGTGTAAATCATGTAATGGGCGTTTTGGTGTATGGTGTCCTATTCGGGTCCTGGTATTTAAGTTGAAAAAATCGTTAAATTTTATATGAAAATATGCTTTTTCTTTTTCGAAATAGGGCAATGATATATCATGCAATGTTTGAAACACCAGCTTATATCACTTTGCTATGTGTTCTTGATTTCATTGTACAAAGAAATCTGATAATTATATATTTGACTAAAGGAAAAAGGTACGGTTTCATTACAAACCCGCAAACAAAAATATTGCTGATTTAATTGTCCCCTGTTTCTCCCCCAAAAATCTGTAGTAAATGCTGTACTGGCATTGTCAAATCCTAAATGGTTTTATAGGATGTGTGCATTTTCAAAATAGTTTTAAATTTTGATATTCTAGCTATAACCCATGTCGAATTTTGGTGTTTGCGAATTCTTATAGTAATACCCCATATTCGAAACCTATTGAAACAAAATTTATTTTATCTTTTAACTGTTCTTTTTTTCCTGTTTTGCAATAAATGTTTATTTTCATGACAATTTTTGTTTCTTTTATATCGTAATTTAATTTGATAAGAAAAAAATAATAAACTGTCCAAAACCTATTTTGTTGGGGCGGGGTGGGGGTGATATCTGATATAATGCAATCTCTATAATTTGTTGATACCTTGTCATTGGTCATTTGCAAAATTATTTTTGTTAAACAAACATTCTGATTGCACACACAAGTACTTTGACAATATCTATGTGGTTTTTGGAGACCAGGTCTTCCAACAATCTATTGGAATTCCCATGGGTACCAATTGCGCCCCGTTATTAGCAGAGCTTTTTTGTATTCATATGAAGCAGTATTTGTCAAAATTCTTATACGTGAAAAGAAGAAAACGCTTGCTGTGGCCTTCAACTCGACATTTAGATATATCGACGACGTATTGTCAATGTATTAGCAATGGCTATTTCCCTTCTTATGTCTATACGATATATCCCAGTGAGCTTGAGATAAAAGATCCCACAGAGTCGGACACATCTGTTTCATATTTGGATATTTTACTTGAAAAAGACGCGCCGTGTGCTCATTGTCATGATCGGGAAATAACGGAAAAATCCGTCGACAATTCAGTGTGTAAATAATGGCCTAACAATTAGTATGAAAAACATCAGTCAGCATTTGACTCAGTGATAAATTGTATTTGCTGATCATGACAAGGTCATTGTATCGACCATAGAACAAGGAGCACACGGTGGGTGTGATCGGTCGGCATTGGATGCTCACTCCTCCATGGCACCTGATTCCACCTCTGATGTTTGGAGGTCCGTGTTTGCTCTGCTCCTATTTTGTATTGTTTAATGGACTTTTGAGCTTGGATACTGTTCGTTTTCTCATATATTTCATTGTAAACTTTGTTTTTCGGAATTTATATTTCCAAGCTCTGAATAAAACACAAGGAGTCTGCAACTGTAAAGTCTACATGATTGTCGAATTTTGATTATGAGAAACTATGGAGAGGTATCAGTATCATAATTATTTATTTTTATTCCAAATGAAATAAATTATTTAGATTTTTTTTTTCTTGTTTTTATTAAAACTTCAAAATTTGCATTTTAATCAATATCGTTAATTTTTCACTTTAATTTCTTATTTAATTTAATTCTAACTTATGTTTATATGTTCCAATTTTATTTTATTTTATTAATTTTGTTTATTTGACGATGTGATATGAATCATTACCCGCGTATACACGGCTTGCGTGGATCTAGAGGGGCTTCGGTTTTTAAGGTCTCAACCGAAAAATCATTCAATTTGACTTTCAGTACCGAAGGAATAGTCACTAGCAACACGTATTTTAAACGTCTTACGTTTGGCCCGGCACAGGAACGTAGGGCAATCGAACTCTGACCTTAGATAAGATAAGATAATATTCATTTAAAGTCGGGTAATTCAAACAGAAAACATTAGCTCTGAAGAGCTATTTTCCGACTACACAATAATATTACATATAATACAACAATACGAATAAACAAGAAACAGTACTTAAAAATCACACTATTAAAATATCAACATACCCCGTAATGCATTACAATGACATATGACATAGTATTCATCACAATAAGACCAACAAACTGAAATAAACCCTGTTTACTATAATCTAAAGATAAAATTTATCGACAAGCAAAGCAATTACAACTATTTCCGTACCAACTGCTTATGTTTGATTTGAATTGGTTAAAAGTAGTAATATTTCTAAAAGATTCTGGTAAAGAGTTCCAGAGTTTTGCGGATTCATATCTAAAAGACTTCAAATCGTATGTTGTTGATCTTGTTTTTAGTAAAACAGCAGTTTTCGTATATCTAAAAGAATATGGCGTTTCTTTAATATGGATAAAATCGTGCAGGTAAGATGGGCTTTGTTTGTTTAAAATCTTAAAACATTCTATGGCCATTGTTCTAATACGCCGGAGTTTGAAGCATGGCAATTTTGATTTATCCAGAAGATAACTATATGAGTTTTTGTAGTCGTCATAGACGAAACGCAATGCTCTTTCCTGTATTTTTTCCATTTTTCTTGTCTCTCGTTCACCACAAAAATGCCAAACTAATGGGCAATAATTGAAGTTTGACATGATAAATGTATGATAGATTGTTAGTTTTCCTAATTTAGTCAGGTGAACCCCTATTCTTTTAAGTACATTCAGTTGTTGTGAAGCTTTCTTACAAATGTTTGAAATATGAGAGCTAAACTTAAGTTCAAAATCTATAGTCACGCCAAGTAATTTTACTTCGTTTCCCGGATTAATCATATTACCATCAATTTCAAAACAAAAGTTTTCCTGTTTTGTTTTCTTTCCGAGACATATAGCTTGGAATTTATCAGGATTGGCTTGCATTTGGTTATCTTCAAACCACTTAACTAGGGTTGAACAATTAGCTTCTAATGTATTTTTTAGTCAGATAATATCGTCACTCGAGTTTCAGAGAGTGTTATCATCGGCATAGTTGTAGAGGTCGCAATCAGATACAAAATGAAAAATATCATTGATAAAAATATTTAAAATAACAGGACCAAGTATTGAACCCTGTGGAACACCTTTGTACAATTCTAAAAAAAATCGCTACAAACATTACCCAGTTTCACACATTGTTTTCGATTGCTTAAATAGCTTGAAATTAAACTTGTAGCTGCATTTGTAAAACCATATGCATTTAATTTTGCTAAAACTAGATCATGTGGAATACAATCAAAGGCTTTAGATAAATCCATCATAATTGCTGCAGTATATTTTTTATGATCAAGAGCAAACTTCCAATCTTCAACAATCTTTAGCAATACACTCTGACAGCCATACCCTGGTCTAAAAGCTGATAACATGTCATTAAAATGGCAATTAAAAAAATCAGATAATTGACTGTGAATGACCCTTTCAAAAATTTTTGACAATGTAGGTAAGATACTAACGGGTCTGTAATTTCCTTTTTCCAAAATACTGTTTTTCTTATGAAGAGGAACCACTTGTGCTATTTTCATACGATCTGGAAAAAACATTATGAGATAAACAAAAATTTACAATATTAGTTACAGGGTTCAAAATATGTTCATGGCTAAGTTTAACAATCTTAGCCGAAATACCATCAATTCCAGTAGCCTTTTTCAGGTCCAATTTGTTTATGCACTTACTTACAAAATCGTTGTCTACAGGATGAAAAGAAAATGATTTAACATCATCCTTATCTTTGATACTCTCACAGATTTTAACAATGCTAGGATGTTCACTATTTACATCAACACAATCTATTCCAATATTCCTTGCAACATTAACAAAAAAGTTGTTGAAGATATTGCATACTTGAACTTGATCAGACACAAGACTTTCATTTTCAGACAGTATAATATTTTTTCTGACATTTGTACCTTTGTTGGTCAAAAATGGTTTTATTGTTTTTCTCTTTTTCGTTGGAATGTGCTTGTCGATTACTCGAGTTAAATCATTATGAAAATTATTAAAAACAATGTTTGGGTCACCTTGTAAAACACCAGAGTAAGATTCTTCAATAGATCTTAAATCTTCCATATATGAATCTAAATTTAAGCTCTTGAAGCTTCTGTAATTTCTGTATTCAGGAGTTGTTAACATGGTTTCCATTTTTAACTGTATTGCAATAATGTTGTGAACATCACTTATTCCATATTGAAATTACAATGATTTGCTATAATGTTCGTATTATTCGTTAAAACAACATCAATCTGGGACGCATTGCCTTCTTTTGTAAAGCATGTTTTACCTTTTATAACATTTTATAAATCAAATATATCACAGATATCTAGTAAAGGTTTACATTTGTTACTATCTGCTAAATCAAAATTCAAATCTCCTAGCATAAAAAAAGTATCATATTTGACAGAAATTTTGTCCAATGTTGATAAAGAATCATTTATAAATTTGCTATCTTTCATGCATGGTGGTTTGTAACAACCTAGAAAAAATTCTTTAGTAGAGTTTATTGAAATTTCAACTCCAATGGATTCTATTTCATCCGCCTCCAATTAGGGTCTGCGGGTTCCGGCGACATCGGATCTGAGATAAGCTATGATACCTTCTCCAGAGGAATTTCGGTCCGCACGCCACGTGTGATAATTATTCACGGAGAAAAGTGCATCGGGAAAAGAGGAATCTAATTTCGTTCACTAAGGAATAATAAATCGACGGTTTTGTTTGTAAGCAGTTCTTTTATGTATGTAAACTTAAATCGGAGACTGTTTATGTTCAGGTAGGCACACATAAACTTGTTTGGATTTCGTGACCTAGTTTCTAATAGTCGATCAAATATATTATATGCTTCGCCGTTATCACTTTCTAGGTCATCTGATGTAGCAGAAGTGTTCGAATTGATCTCTGAAATACATTTATTACATGACCATGTGAGATGATTTTCGTTTATCTTTATCATTTCTTCGATTTCAATACACTTCATATGGCATCTTTGTTTACAATCTACACATGTGAAAAGTTGCTGATTTCGCCTTGTTTGCTTATTGCAAATTCAGCATGGAAACTTGATCGGGCCGGGATTGAGTGATACATCCCCTGCTAGCAAAAGTCTGAGTATGAAAATATATTTGTATAGACATTCTTCTTTGACCACTCGACTATCATGGCGGGAAGTAAACAAAGGAATTCTCGCTGGGTGGATAATACTCAATACATAATCATCTAAATGTGTCGTAAAGTTTAAGCTAATAAACTCACAATCGTCATCAGCAGGATAGGTTGATCGCTTTATAAGTGTATACGTGTCATCTGTTGATTTCAGTCTGCAGAATAATATGGTGATGACCAGAGCAATCGTTGTGCCGACTGACCAGTCCGCCATCTTTGTGAAAGTACACTCTGACCTTCCCATGGCTTACTCTGACCTTCCCATGGCATACGAAACTAGCGCCTAACCGCTAGGCTAATGTGATCAGTGCCACTTTTTATTAAGAGCTAATAGAAAATTTAACTGCTATAATACCATATTTTAAAAAACAACCACTCAGTAGATGCAGATCCGTATCAATGTATAAATAAACTGCTTAAACACCTCTTTCTTCGTGGTAGACGTTGTTTAAGATCTTTTTTTAACATTTCAGTAATTTTTTTTTCAACGCAATAATTTACCAGAGTTTGATGATACTGCAAAGGAGAAGTGTGTGTGTGTGTGGGGGGGGGGGGAGGGGGGTGGATGCAGCCTATAAATGAATTTTCATATTTAAACAGCTGCAAAAGATTATTCTCCACACAAAAAAGTGGGGAGTCCTACCTTTCGCCCCCTCCTATACTTCGGCCCTGAGATTTGTTGAAGTGAATTTTTTTTATCTTAGTCCTACTTTGATAAAACAATATGATGACCTGATCCCACCTCTGATGTTTGGAGGTCCGTGTTTGCTCTGCTCCTATTTTGTATTGTTTAATGGACTTTTGAGCTTGGATACTGTTCGCTATCTCATATATTTCATTGTAAGCTTTGTTTTTCGGAATTTAAATTTCCAAGCTCTGAATAAAACACAAGGAGTCTGCAACTGTAAAGTCTACATGATTGTCGAATTTTGATTATGAGAAGCTATGGAGAGGTATCAGTACCATAATTATTATTTTTATTCTAACTTCTTTTTTTGCAAGTGAAATAAATTATTTAGATTTTTTTCTTGTTTTTATTAAAACTTCAAAATTTGTATTTTAATCGTTATCGTCAATTTTTCACTTTAATTTCTTATTTAATTTAATTCTAACTTATGTTTATATGTTCCAATTTTATTTTATTAATTTTGTTTATTTGACGATGTGATATGAATCATTACCCGCGTATACACGGCTTGCGTGGATCTAGAGGAGCTTCGGTTTTTAAGGTCTTAACCGAAAAATCATTCAATTTGACTTTCAGTACCGAAGGAATAGTCACTAGCAACACGTATTTTAAACGTCTTACGTTTGGCCCGGCACGGGAACGTAGGGCAATCGAACTCTGAACTTCCCATGGCATACGAAACTAGCGCCTAACCGCTAGGCTAATGTGATCAGTGCCACTTTTTATTAAGAGCTAATAGAAAATTTAACTGCTATAATATCATATTTTAAAAAACAACCACTCAGTAGATGCAGATCCGTATCAATGTATAAATAAACTGCTAAAACTCCTCCTTCTTCGTGGGAGACGTTGTTTCGGATCTTTTTTTAACATTTCAGTAATTTTTTTTTCAACGCAATAATTTACCAGAGTTTGATGATACTGCAAAAAAGAAGTGTGTGTGTGTGGGGGGGGGGGGGGTGGGGTGGGGGGTGGGGGGTGGATGCAGCCTATAAATGAATTTTCATATTTAAACAGCTGCAAAAGATTATTCTCCACACAAAAAAGTGGGGAGTCCTACCTTTCGCCCCCTCCTATACTTCGGCCCTGAGATTTGTTGAAGTGATTTTTTTTTATCTTAGTCCTACTTTGAAAAAATAATGTGATGACAATATCAATTTAAAGATACCTGATTTTTGTGTACAATTTAAGCAGGCTATCAAAATTGGAGGTCGTATTTATCATATTTGAAACATCATGCACCAGTGCCTTAAAAGTTAGACGAGCTCACTGTTGATCACAGTCTCACTTTTACCAAAAGAATTAGTAGTATATAGAAAAGACAGACTGAGATCAAAAGTGAACTCATCTAAATTTATGGCCCCAGGCCAGGTCCGTAGTATATAAGTAGGGTGCCAGTATATGCTATACCAATTTTAAAAAAGCTAATTCCGATTTTGCCCCATCAATTATTTTGTCGGTAAATATATACGAAAAGAAATCAAGGCTAATTTATCCACAGTAATGGCTCTTTTTTCAAGGGGGGGGGGTCAAGAAATTTTTGTTTTGTGCCCACTGCTTCCCCCCACCCCCACCCCCCAAAATTCCTTCCTATGGGCCTGAAAATGAGAAAAAACACTCAAGAATTATAGAATATGGTTTTTAAAATAATAATGAAAAATTCATGTTCCAGGGAAATATTTCTACGTTTTGTAGACTGTTCGCGCAAGATCTCTATGTACATGCATGTCTAAAAAAGGCCGTAGCGCCCCTTTTCGTTTAAATTTCATTCGGATTCCTTAATTCAACTCTTTTAGTTTTACTTTCTTATTCAAACTTTCGATTCTGCTTATAGTTGTTACCGTAAATATTGTAACACGTTAGGTAAAGTGAAACATAATTTAAATTTTAAGATAGAATCACAATACGAAGGGAAGCAAAATTGCCAAAGTAAAATAAATAAAATAAAATAAAATAAAATAAAACTGGAAAATATAAACAAGAAGTTAGAATTTAAATAAGAAATAAAAAAAATGAAGTCGCTAGAGAATCTATTTAATTTGGAAAACAAAAAGTTACAATAAAAAAAAACTAAGAACATTTAAAAAGAATTGTAGTACTGATGCCCCTCCATAGTTTTTCAAAATCGTGTAGACTTTACATTTGTAGAGTTGTGAATTGCGTTTGTGTTTTATTCAGAGCGCGGAAATATAAGTTCCGGAAAACAAAATTAACAACATCGAAAATACACACATTCATATAGCATAAACTCAAAGTCAACACAGTTGTATGTTCGGAACTACATGCTTGGATGTCAGAATTACCTAATTACATATGTTGACCATGAAACTGATACGATTACAAGATTTACAAACTTACAAGTCTGGATTTTTGAACACGATTACCCTCCATAAATGACTAGCTTATAACTAATGGGATTACCTCAATTTTTCCATAGTCAACTTTCCGTATTTATGTAGCAATATTCAAACATCACCTGCATTTGGTGTTTATGTCTCCCAACTGATTCGATACGCAGGAGATTGCTCTGAATAAGAACAAAACACTGACAAAAATCTGTTGATGTAACAAAGATTTCAACAACCCGTTTAAAGTAAGCTTTTCACAAATTCGGCCGTTATAATAACATTGCTTGCAAATTCAGCATATCTGTAGGTAGTAGTTTGATTGACATGTTTCAAACCAATTGTTAGGCCTTTTGCTTAATACTACGGAGTACTCCGTATACCTGATCAACACATAGGGCTCACTGCTGGTGTGACTGGTCGACAGGGGATGTTTACTCCTACAAGACACCTGATCCCACCCCTGATGTTTTAGCCCTTTTCACGATTTGTTTTGTTTTTCTAGATCTATGAGATTAATTACTGCTCGGTATCTTTACCTTTAACATTATATTCTAGGCATCTGACCGAGAGGCAAATACAGTCTTCATTTTGAGGGTGAATAGGCTTTCTTGTAACTTCAGAGTGATGCAAACACTTGCCGATTCGTCTTCATTGTGTCTATATCATGATTTGTTATAAAGAAAAAAAGAAAGGAAGAAAAGAATATTCAACCTTTTATCAAAGCTGGAGAATTTTCTCCTTCATGAGTATATAAAACATTAAATAACATATAAAAATCAAAAGTGAATAAAGATGTGTTAGAAGAATTACAATGTATTTATAATAAAGAACCCTGCTGGTATGAGTACATTATTGATACTGAATATAATAAAACACAATGAAAGACCCAAAATAAAATTTGGTCGGATTCACTTTAAGTGTCGTAAAACTGTGAAATGTCAACAATTTAAGAATTCGCTTTCGAGAAAACAATGCCTTCTTGCACGGTATCAGTATCTTTATCGCCAACTTTAATCACTCGAAATCCGTGTTCTTCTATTTCCTGTTTCTTGCGCTCATGTCCCCAACCAGCACCGCGTCCTTCTCCAAACGGACCCGATAAACTGACCGGAAGGCAAATGAAGAGGCTAAAGGGAAGGAAAAACTGTGCTTTTGGCTCGTTGACTTGTTTTGGGGGATAGGAAGATACAGGGGGATCATACGCCATTCCGTAGCCATCTGGTTTGAGGACTCGCTTTGTCTCTTTAAGAATTCCATCGACGTCGTATGCATCATGAAGTACATCGTTGATTAAGACGAAATCAAACTTTTCAGTCCATTCCTGTGGGAGTTGTCCACCTTTCATATGGATATAGATGATGTTCTTCTGCTCACTTTCTTGAAGTTCTTTGATGGCCTGATCTATTGAGACTTTATCCGAGTCGATACCGTAAATAGTAGAGTTAGGGTACATTTTAGCCACCTCTCTTGTATGCTTACCATAGCCACAACCAATGTCTAACAGCGTAAAATCCGTCCCTTGTTAAAAGAGAAATGTTTGAACTTAAGGTATGTCACTCGTGAAATTTGTTATATCAAGGATTTTTTGAGAAGTATATTTTAGATAAGTACTCATATAAAATGACTCAAAATCGCAAAGAAAATAGGGGGTCAGTGTGCATCTTAATGAGCTACGGTACAATGAAGTTGACCTTTTTGCACTTAAATTGTAACTCTTGTAAATTCATCTTAAATTGTAACTCTTTGGACAATCACTTTAATCTTTATCATATTTTATCAGATGTAATCATGGCAATAAATATAATCTTATTTTACGTAAAATAGTTTGAATAATCTTTATCATTGGACAAATCATGCAAATTAATGCGCATAAATTATTGTGTGACCTTTTTGCACTAAAAAGGTATCATATTTGGGGTATAAAAAATCTAAATAGGCAATAAAATATTTTCTTGTATCAAACTTTTTATGACTTAAGTGCATATCGGTTGGAAGTACCGTGTTGTTTAAAATAATGAAAGAAAAAGTTGGGGTCAGTGATGTAAATTTTGAGATATTGGACAAAATGTGCGATTTTCAGGCAAAAAAACGGTGTAAATTTTATCTTGACTTCTTGAATATATCTTCATTTCTCGGCAAAGTCTGTTGAATGAATGTACAAAATTTATTCTAAAAATATAAATTGGGACCTATATTTAATATTCCTAGCATATCATAAAGGAAAATATTCTCTAAGTAAAAATATGTGGGGCTAAAGTTCCAAGATATTAAATTTGACAAATGTGTAGATTTGAAGAATTTTCATCTAAATTTCCTTCCACCGCAAGAAATAGTCCCTCATAAATTTTGCTTCTTTATGAATTTGTGAGCAGTTTTTTTCATTGAAAGTTGAATAATTTGCATTGTTTAATTTAAACATGTTATAAAAATTGAATTGTAATAAATAGTTTTGAAGTTAAAGGTTCTGACTGAACTTTTCTAAAAAGCTGACGAGTGACATACCTAAAATTGAAATTTACAAATTATTGGTAAGTGATATGATTATTTTGAATATTCTCAATTTCAAACCTGGTTTAAGTTCTAATGCAGGAAGCAGAAGATTCTTGTTCCATTCCTGAAGAGCTTCCGGTGTACGATATGTATCCAGCCAAGCAAGAAATGGTTCATAGTATCCGTAACCTGAACAAAAAGTAACCAGAAATTTCATTCAACATAGTGTTGGTTTGGTACCTGTGCAAGTTAAAGAATAATCAAACAATTTATATTCATATATATATATATATATATATATATATATATATATATATATATATATATATATATATATATATATATATATATATATATATATATATATATATATATATATATATATATATATATATATATATATATATATATATATATATATATATCAATCAGACTGATGTCTTTTATTTCGAGCTCAAGGAGATATATCGAATCAACATAGAAATGAAAATGAATATTGCTAATTGAGAAAACATTGCCAATATATCTAAATGTCGAATTAAGGGTCACAGAAAGAAACTTCTTCGTTTCATGTGGGAGTGTTTGAAAAAGTTATATTTCATATGATTACATATAACGTGATGCAATTAGTACCAAAGGCAATTCCAACAGACTGTTGAAATCTTTGATCTATAAAAACCACATATATACTATTATTATCAGTAAATTCAAGCACCTTTTTATTATCAGCTTCGGGATATTTGTGAATTTTTCACTCATATTGAGACGCCACCACTTGCCGGTGGAGGGCTTCAAATTTATTTATATGGTTTATACTAGGGATGTCAATTTTATTCGAGTTTGAATGAGTCTTGTCAGTGACTCGTGACTGGTAAAAAGTTCAAGCGTACATCTTATAAAAACAAAAAGAGTTTGCGATAAATTTGAATATGAGATGTTTTGCAAACAAGCAATACAATCTTGAAATGATTGTTATTAATATCAGAAAGAAACAACTTAAGTTTTTTTGTTTTTTTTTAAATTACACTCATAACTATCCCCAAATATACATGTATTACAAATTTGTAACAGCTGTTTAATTAATTAATATAGTTGCATTATGCGAGATATTATGGAATTGCAGGTTGAAACTTTACAATTTGGATCTGACATCCTTTAAGGTATTCCATTGTTTGCCGAACAAAAATCGACAAGCAAATAATTTCCTGAAGTTTGAACAATAAACGAAGACCGGTTAAGTCTTACGGTTATCCTGAGTTTTACTCACGAGAACAATGATCCGTTAATAAATGAACTGAGAGGATCCATTTTTTAACCTTCAATATAAGATAACCATTAAGTAGCAATTTTTTTAAACAAATAAAACATTAAAATAATGAGCTTTACAATCAAAGAGAGTGTTATTACCAGTTGAAAGATATCGTATAATATTATACTTTCATGTAAATTAGTTGAAACTGATTCGTCGAGAAACATTTGCTAAAAAACACTATTACTTGCTTAATAATGAAGCATAGCCCTCCAGCATAGCAACAGTCGACATTGCTTGGCTACAGGTGATATTCCAAAAAAATATTGACTGAGCAAAGTTTATGCGCGCAAAGTTCAGTATAATATGTATTTGTATTACACATTCAGTATAATATAACAAATACTGCACGTAGTTGAGTGTAACATTGAAAATTTTCACCCCAAGAAAACCATTGTCAACCTAGGCGCAGCCGAGCTAGGACTCTCCAGTGATCCAAAGCCTAGCCTAACAAGGGCACTCAAGATTATAGGATTTCATTTCATAGAACCATGTCTTTCACTTTCTAATTCCAAGCGTTGGACGAAGGTACAGCTGTTGGTATCTATTTTATATTGTTTATCTTACATCCTCCGGACTCCCCCAACAAAAATTTACTATAGTTAACTATAGTAAAAACTTTGATACTTTGATTTACTATGAAGCTAAACTCTATATGTTTTTTAGATTTTAAAGCTTAAAAATCTCTTAAATTCGAGTAAAGTGTTGTAAATATTCGAAATTATTTGTGAATATACAAATAATCGTTCCATTAAATATTTAAAAAAAATGTGTATGTATGATCTAAAGAACAAAAAATATAACAACCTGAAATCCATAGAAAAAATACTTTTTATTTTTTACTATAGTAAAAAAATTTGATACTATAGTAAACTATAGTTAACTAAATGAAATATAAAGATAATGAACAGTATTCAATCTCGAAAGTCCAATGAAACGATACAAATTTGGAGCAGAGCAAACACGGACCTCAAAATTTAGAGGTACATGTAGGATCAGGTGCCGTTGAGGAGTGAGCATCCCCTGCCGACAGGTCACACTCGCCCTGGGCTCCTTGTCATGAAACTTGTTCAACTAAAGTTAGCTATACGAGGGTTGTTCGGAAAGTTCGTGGACTAGCGCCATAAAATTAAAACCGCTTAAGATACATCAATGAATTTTTTAACGTTTAATTAGCATCATCTTTCTTATTTATATAATAAATTATACACCATTAGTTTTATTTTTTAATAAATTGTTAATGTTTTTGAAAGCAATGGTATGTCCAGGCGGCGCAACCTCGAAGATTACGTTTTTTCTACCTAAATCATGTAAATGTAACTTAGAAAAATCTTCTTTTTTTTATATGAACATTCGTCTTTCAAAAATCCCGTTAATTCACTCATGTGGTATGACACAATTGTACCGTAAAAGAATGAATCTTCGTAACACTGCTTTCTCGCCCCTTTTTAAATGCAGAATTTTACCTTTTCAAATCAGAACATTGTTATATTATTGCTGAAGTCTTCAAGTATAGTCTGTATAGATACTCAAAGATTTTTTGGGGAAAGAGACTTTCAGTATACACATTATATCGATTAAATAAAATCGTATACTTCACTGTAAAATCCCGGTTTCGCCATTACAGCTATGTAGGTCATTGTATTATTTGAATGAGAAGGCGGAGCGTCTATCAAGCGTGCGATTAGTAGGAATACATTAATTCGTTAAATTATTTATACATTAAATACACATTGGAATTTGGAAACAGAACGTATAACGAAGGATACACTATTTTTCATACTTTAAAGAAACTTTAAAAAGAGAGAGAGAGAGATAATTAATCCATTTAAGCTTATTACATAATTAGAAATTTTTCATACATATATATAATTTTGCAAAATCCGAGTGCTACAACAAATACACGTAGGCGGTTGAATTATGATATAAATCTACACTCAGCGTATAAAAAATAGATAGTTAAGAAAGTGAAAATTTAAAACGTCAATTAAACGTCAGTTTATCGTCAGTATCATGGTGGATAAAGAAACATCAGTGTCAGTGTACTTTGTACAGTCCAAATAGCGTTTTTTTTTCTTCAAAAAATCCTATTTATTCATGCCAGAAAAGTTCATATGATCTTCCTCATTTAGGAATTCATTAATTGTCGAAATCCACTCCTGTACTTTTTGATTTTAACAAACTCTCTCCCTGTAGTAAGATAAATAATAAATCACTCCGAGGTATTTTTAACGCCCTTTTTCATTCGACTGATTTTTTTTTTTACTAATATCTACGTTGATCGGACATGTAAAAGGGTCATACAAATGCATGTTCTTGCTTTTAAACATTATGCTTTAAAAATACCTGCGAACATGGACTTTTTTTTACATGATCTAAAAAAAAAAATAAATTGTGAAATTTTGTGCCGATGTAAAGAGTTATAGCATTTGCGTCAGAAGAAACCTGAAGCTTCCCTCTATTCAAATTAGGGGTGCTTTTTGTGCAAATGTTTTCATCCAGTGACTTTTCATCCGATACACAGGTTTTTGAGCGCTCCGTACTTCAATTTCTTTCCCTTAAGGACTAAAGGTTTCTTCTATTGGAAGTATGCATTTGTGCACTTGTAACAAACAATTTATTTTTCTAAAGATATGATGAATCGGTGTTTTTCAAATAATGGACTATAAAATTAATGACAGTTTTAACTAAAAAAAAAAAAACCTTTCATATCTTCCAAGTCAATGAACGGAGCACTGATGTATATTTAGGAACAAGGGCAAATGTATAATATATACCCACAATAATTTAAATCTTAAAATTCTGTATTTATGAGACACAAGCAGTAAGTGCAAACTATATGCTACAGGACTTCAATATAAATTGATAGATACAGAAAAAAATCAAACAAAATCGACTGAAAATCTTAACCCATCTTAATCAAAAAAAAGTTTTCTCCCAGAATTTTAATTACCCATTTGAAAAATGATCTGACCATCGATAGCTTGCATACACTAGACACGATGTCGCATAGGTGTGTCGCATAGTGTGCTCAAAGCGTGGAAGTGAATAGATTTGAGTCACGTGTTCAGTGCTTTGTTATTCATGAGGTCAAAGACGGGTTGAAATTTGTAAACAAGGTGCCTTTACTATGGAGACAAGCACCCGTGATTTTGCACCTTTTTGGAAAATAACAAATGAGCGCAAGACTGTTTCAATTTCTTTCATGAATGTAAATGACTAGTATAACTCTTTACTTTGACCGTATATACTACAACTTGAAACACCCATGCGCTCATATGAAAAAAGGGCTTGCAAAATGGGGGTGTGGCCTAAAGTCTATGAGAAATCGATGTAAACAACATACCCCTGCTATATTAATCACATAAATACCTAATTACAGCGCAAGGAAGTAAAAATTGAAATTGAAATTAATAAACTACAATGTTTGATGGAAAGATTGAGTCAAAAATATGTAGAAAATCTTCAATTTAATTTTTCGTTAATTATAGGGGGGCCAGATTTGGACGTTTAAACGATTCATCCTTTGCAATTTTTACCCCATTCTGTAAGTTCTATGAAATTTTATTGTAAAATTTATATGAAATGTCCAAACAATTATGGGGTTGTAATGACGTCAGAAAGGGGGTGGGTTTCTTTTTCCAATATTCTATAAAGTTTCACCCTCTGGAAAAACTGGCATAGACCTAGGAAATATTTAAATGGGCTACTGAAAAATAAAATGCATTCAGAGTACTTATTTTTAAACGCCGAAAAAGATTAGAGAGACGAGAGATGTAAAAGTGAATGTCGATTTGTAGTAAGGGTGTTCAAAGTTTGTCACGCCGAAAAGTGATGTTGATCATATGTGATAGATGTTGAACGAGACAAGCAAATATGCTGTTATAATCAAGTGAGAATCTTTCAGATCTATTTACAATATTATATGTATTGAAATCAGCTGTTTATGACATTGTAAAATCATATAAACAAGACGGGTTTAAATCTTTACTTAACTCCAAGGAAACTCATCAAGATAAGTGTATGAGGTAGAGAATGCGGACATTGAAAAACAATGACGTCATGAAACTAAATGGCGACAGCGCCGGTTGATCATATCATGTCTTTTTTATTTTATGATAATTTGGTAAATATTCAAGGTATCAAGCTAAAATTTTCAACATTTCTTTAACTTTTGATGTTTTATGTTCATCAAAAATCTTGTAACCATAGACTACATAGTATTAATTTTATCGCATCAGTCCACGAACTTTTCGAACAACCCTCGTAGTAAACTATAGTCAACTATAGTATTTTTTGCTAGGGGGACCATCCGGAGCCAAATATAGAACCTTTTGAACGCAAACGCTGTATTCACGATATTTACTAAATAATATTTTACGTCCTATAGCAATACCGATTAAAAAGTAAAATACCACATATTGGTGCCTTATGAAGATATATACATGTACGTTTGTTGCAATATATACCATTTCAGATTTATAGCATATGACACTGTAAATCAAGCGTACACCTGGAGTAGACTTGATTTTTATAGGTTGTCTCACTCCTTTAATAATTTACAAAACGTTCAATATAAGTACCCAATTTTCACATCACCTTTTATTCTTTCTTTTCGCTTAGCTTCAACGTTTTATTATATATCAGTAAGTTCATGTATAAAATCTCTGAGGTGCAACGTAAAAGTGCATTATCTAAGATATTGCAATTGAACACAAACAAACCCCTTGGTCCATCTTTTGACGTGACTTTCTCGAGCATAGGAAACATTTCGCTTAATATTGGGAGCACACTGGCAACGATGCCCGACGTCTTCAACAGGGATTTCTCGAATGGAAGTGAATATTTGCCGTCTTCGTGAAGTTTGACGATTCCTGCAGAGATCATGCAACCAAGCCATTCTTGAATGTACCTGTTAGAGAACAAACATGACAAATGATCCTATTTTTTGAATTTGGGTTCATTTGTGTTACATGTATGTAAGACTTATTTTAAGCATAAATGAAGGGAGTAGGAAAACAATCGAACTTTCTGCAATTTTGAATTGCATGTGAAATGTAACTAACTCAAGCACCTTTATCAAACGCGTTTTGATATCATATGATACAACTTATGACATATTAAAATTTGTATGAACAGGTCAATGATCTTTATAACTGCAGGCAATGATATTAAGGTAGCACTGAATGTTTCAATAAAATATAGGTTCTTTATTACATGTATATGCGCAATATATTATAGGGATTTTATTGAATGTACTATTTTAAACTTGATAGAGGATAATCAATATTTCATAGTTGGATATGGAATTCATTTCCCGAGTGGGACGGTTTTTTTCCCTATATTTTCACGAGTGCAAAGCACGAATGAAAATATAAAAAAAATTGTCTCACTAGTGAAATAAATTCCATATCCAACTAGAAAACATTGAAAGTTCTGTTTATTACATTTTCTTTGATTTTACCTTTGCCTCTGTCTTTTCTTACAAAATGTAACACAGTATCGTAAGCTGTGCCGTCATAGTTGAGCGGTTGACACGTCAAAGCTTAACAATGGTGAGATTGAAAGCATTATAACATGGATTTTAGCAACATATTTGAGAAGAAATCGGCAATTTCAGTTACTACCTTTATCTAATGACAGGTCAGGAATTATTTTTTACTTACTTTGATATTATTTAACACTATGAGAGAATATCACTTTTATTCAATAAATTAATCACAGTATATCACTGTTGAAAATGTAATTAATAGATTTTCCATGCACTCTAGTGATGAATGCCAAATCAGTTACAAAGGTTTTAAAAAAGGATCTGTTGAGCCAATGACATTTTCAGTTACCATTATTAAAATACATCGTCTGTAATCAAGATTGATTCTAAACAATTGGTCACTGAAATGTTCACAATTTTAACAACACTAAAAAAACATAAAAATTAATTGAGAGCTAATATCGGTCTTACAATGATGAAATCATATTTTAAAAGGGATGTTTTAAAGACCAATTAAATAAAATTTTAATATACATTTCCTCCTTGATTTTAAATACTTCTTTCTCATACGTACCGTTCACGGTAGCTCAGTCGGTAGAGCGCTCGCTCCGTGATCGGAAGGTCGTGAGTTCGAATCTCGGCCGCGACTGACCTAAGTCGATAATAAATGGGTAGCAACTGTTCTTTCGCCATGCGCTCGGCACTTTGAAGTGAAAGTTGCGGGTCTTTCGGATGAGACCTTAAAAACCGAGGCCCCGTGTCACGGCAGGCCTTGGCACGATAAAGATCCCTCACTGCTCAATGGCCCTGAGTGCCGAGTAAAGGTCAAAATTTGAAGCCCTTCACCGGTATATGGTGACGTCTCTATATGAGTAAAAAATTCTCGAATGGGATGTAAAACAATATACAATCAATCCATCAATCTTTCTCATACGTTAAATTACGACGACCATACACAGACCTATTTACTCACTCCACATGAAAATTTAATCAGACAAGACTCAAACGTCAGCAATTCAGATCTCATGGTGTTTCATTAACTGATGATTTTGCTTGGAACCTGACCCATGAATTTCTTCCAATTGTAACTATGACATCGATACTCCATATAGTCACTAACATTTGCAATGCAGAATTTGTGTTTCAGGATATCGTCTTGCCCCCTTCCAAAATCTGACTCCAAAGAAACTATATCCTCCGACGAATTACTGATCATTGTTTTCTTCTTGGTTAGGTGTAGTTTTGTTTAGGACATTGGCAAGTCAGGGTTTTCCGGAGAAAAAAGGTTTAAAACATGGGTTTTTTCACATGAAATAGTGATTGAGAGTGATCTCCCGTGTAAAATTCTCTAAGCGGTGAAAACCAATAAAGCGTATGCTACAGAGGTAAACAAAAACACATGTACTTTCTTCATCGGGTAGAATTTCATCTAAACAGCAAGAAAGAAAAGTAGTGATGGCTTTGTTGTACATTGTATTCAGGGGTCAAAGAGCCAACAGGTCGTCATTTACTATAGTTATGCTCAGTATGCTGGGATGGGCAAAGATGTGACACATGCTGAAAGGTAGATCGACTGAGATCAATTCATAGGTTGTATGAAGGAAGCAGCATTTAGTAACTACGAATAAAAATTAAAATAAATCCATGCCAGTATTTTTATTGTGTTTCAGTCAATTCAGTCAATTGCATGTTAGAAACAATCAACCAGTCTGACTCTCTTGACCATTATGAATAATATGTAATTATAGCTGTTGAGGGAAGTAACTCAAAAATAAAGATCGGTGTCGGTATGTCCTTGTCTTGTTCTATATATACATTTTCAGCCAAAATATCTAGAAGTCATAGGAAATGAAGATACAATAATGTATATAATACAAAAACTATATGAAATAAGTGGGTTTTGGAGAAATATTATGGTGAAAAATTATGTAGGTTCCTTTTATCAACATTATACTTCGGAAATGCATTGAGAATTGCAATAACACTGATTTGACAAAATCTAAAAAAGAAGGCTGGCTTGGTAGCTTAAGCAATACAGAATATAGCCTGTTTAGTACAAGTCAACCTACTCTAAAGTTCTTGAAAAATTCTATACGATATCCAGGAACCTTGCCAATGTCCTTTTAAAAATCGTCGTCGTCTTCGAACTTTTGTTATGTTGTGTAAGTTCGTCCACTGGTTTTTTGTTTTCGTCCCAATTGTCTTCTTTTATTGATTCATTTTCTTCTGCTTAAAAAAAGGAGAGAAAGAGGAAGTTTCTCTTCGTATATTTGCTGAATATGCATGTCTTTATGGACACTTATGCAACTGTAACCTCTTATGTAACAAATGAAGTCATTAAATGATCCTTTAGGGGGTTATCTACTAGGGAAAAAGTGATCTTTTCCATCTTTGGTCATATCTTTCATTGTTGCATCTTTTTTATGTTCATTTTCCAGGTTCTTCTTCCCTCCTTAATTCATACTTGGACTCCTCTGTGTAAACGTTCAAATACCAATTTCTGGTAAGCTTCTTGGAATTTCTGTCGACACATCTTGGCCTCACTTCTTTCGCTTCTTCTTTTCGTGTCGTTTGCATTTGCCTGTGATGTTCAATTTTCATTCTGAGGACTGAGAGACAATTTCCACTCATATTGTCTTGTTTTTTCTGATGTTCTCTTGATCTGTGTTTGATCAACATATGTTATATTCACCTTTTTTCAAAAAAGTATAATACCAAGCATGTGTATCTGCTGGTAGACAATCTGTTCCCAAGGATAAATTTTGAAAAGAATGACACGTAGCTTGTGATGAGAAGGTGTCATTAAACTTTGGGCATAAAACATTTGTCGTATATAAAGTCAACCTTTATAAGAATTTCAGTAAGGTATGTTTTGACGATCCCTTTTCGGAAATCAAGTGTTAGATTTCAAAATAATGTGCAGATATTCGTACAACCTCTGATATTTTGAAAACCAGAAATAATTTGTATTTTGAAAGAAAGCAATCTCACAGGTAAAAAAAATCATATTAAAACTTTGGAAAATCTTATTTACAAATCTTCAAACGTTATATATGGAATTGAATGCAGTCGTATTAATGCTGGAGAAATCAAGTGTGCACTCAACAAGAGCATGTTGAGACACAACTTTGAAAGAAATAATGGGGATTACCAACATCTTCATAAAAAATTGTCATTCCCTCGCCCATTCTATTCTTGTAATGAGGGACAGAATTTCAGATAAAGAAATTACTATTCCATAAAAAGTCCCACTTTAAGTACTCCATTCCGTAGAGATCAGGAAACTAGGCACTGCTTTACCATACGGTAACGATGACCAAATCAATATAGTGAAGGCAATCTTTTAGGCCCACAGTGTGCCATTGTGAATGTATTGAGACTTTTTAACTAGGGATGGCAATTTCACTGGATAGCCTTTTCGAACAATCGAGGACTTTAGTCGAACAATAATCAAATGTTCGTTAAAATAATTCTTCTTATGTCAATTTATCTATATTTCCTTTTCGAACTGTAAACTGTATGTACACTTGATATTTTAATCAAGCTACTGCCACATACAACGTAATTCTCACTGAAATAGGTGGAAAATGAACAGTGCTCGATACATACAAACAATACAAATATGTAAACAGGGCATAAAATACGACCCCTGGAAATTCCAGGGGTGGAATCAGGTGTCTAGGAGGGGTAAGCATCCTCCGTCAATCGGTCACAACAGCCGTGAGCCCCATATGTTGATAACGTAGACCGTAGTCCATAGTCAAATTTAGTATAAACAACCCTGATGCAGCATTGTTGGTCGATGAAACATGAAGATTTTGTAAGCTTTCATGAATATAACATTTTTATATAAAAACTCAAAATCATCAAAGTTATTGCTGCATTTGTAGCCCCCTATAGTAGACGATATATTGATTCATGTGTGTGCGTGGTCGATGCTGAATAAAATGCACAAGCTGCACACTTGTTATGAGTCAGATAGTTTATTAACATTGGTTTTCTTTAACTGCAAGGGGTATGAAAGTAATTACAGAGGGAGATCTTATTAACTTTAAAATAATGTCAGGGGACATCAGGGGCAAGACAGTGGTAATAGGGGCAAGGTCAGGGGACGTCAGGGAGTAGACAGGGTAGTCAGGGACAACGACAGGGGATCATAGGAGGAAGTCAGAGGGAGACGGGAAAATGTCAGGGACTGACAGGGGAACGGCAGGTTTTTTTTTTTTTTTTTTTTTTTTTTTTTTTTTTTTTTTTTTTGGAATCTAAGTGGAAAATCATTACAGTAGTGTAAACAAGAACAATCTACAAGTAAGTAATTCTTTTTCTATGTTTGAAGACTTATGGAATATAGTACCAACTAATTATCAACTATCAATTATTATATTGTTATCTGACCGTTTTATCTGTTACCTGGTGATTCTAAAAACCCAGTAGTGACCAGCAATACACTAAAAAGGTGGTGTAAGTATAACTCCAATGAAGGTCGCTATATCTTAAATCGATTCTCCTTGTAATGCAGATCTGATTTTCTTTTTAGATCAACTGATTTCCCTTTCATACCAACTAAGCAGACATAAACTCGGTTAGATCAAATCGTTTGCAGTCAAAATGTAAAAGGTGGTTCGGAATACCCTAAATGACTGTAAAGTTAAGAATACTTTTATTAATTATAATTATGTAATACCGTGTGCACAGATTTCAATATTCTCTATTTTATATAAAATGGTAGTTCGATCTAACTAATGTGATTTGTGGACTTTTATGAAATCTACAAGAGATTATGCTGTGAGATTTATATGTATGGAAAAAGCACTTGGTTAGTTTAGTAGCAATTGGCTGATTGCCATGGATTTAAGCAGGGGTGCGTCCCCATTAAAACCGACAGGAAAAAAAATATATCGCATAAAGTTTTCACAGTCATACATCGATGTAACAAAGGTATAGAATAACAGTTATTTACATGTATGTGTAAGGTCTACTAATTGTCTATTCTCAGAAGCTTACGAGGGGTGTGCTCACCGGCCCCAGCTGGACATCTTTGACTTGCTGTAGAACTCGAAGGTACCCAGACTCCTTTCCATCTAATATAACCCTCTGTAACACAAGATCCTGGATTTGTGTCTATGATTTAATGGTATGTGTTTGGCATAGTCAAAACACAGTACAAAACACCCAAATTTAACTGAAAAAATGAATGCAAAGTAAGGTTACCTTAACTTTTGGCCTGATTTTTGACTGAGTTCCTCTGCAGTGCAAGGATTTTTTGAATTCAATAAAGGCGTCAATTATCCCTATTACATCTTTAGACATGTAAGAGGTATATTGTTAAACCCTCTGAAAATTCCAAAAGGTTAAACATGTTAAACCATGGTTTAGCAGCAAGTGACCGATTTTGTTAGTAGGATAGAAATAAAGTGATGATGTCGTCAGTAGCATGTAGTTCTCGGATCTGTACATACACGTACAATTAAACTCCAACTAAATTTTTTGAAAAAAAAATCAGTAAATTATTGCCCACCTTAATTTTTGGCCTGATTTTTCACTGAGTTCTTCCGCGGTGCATGGATTTTTGAATTCAATGAAGGCGTCAATTATCCCAACATTGTGACCAAAAGCAAACACAAGAGTGCTCAGTCCGTCTCTCACAATTTGCTCTAAATCCCGAGGAGGAGAACCAGACGCCATTCTTTACGTGCAAAGTGTGTAATAGTACTGTTGTACGGTGTGCTATTCGAGTCGTGATATTTTCTTATGTGAAAAAAAAATTTGTCTGTGACTTTGAATTTAAATTGAAAAAAAAATCATGCTGATGAAAGTATTTATCCCAAAAAAGAATAAATCATTCGGTGTTTGCAGTCTAAATCGTTTTGCTTAGTGCCCGATAATTTAATCATTCGATGCCAGAATTCAACTTTCCGCATGGTTCACCATACTTTTCTTTAAAAGAATAAATTTTAAGGTCAATATAACTAGGGCTTGCAGTGTGTAAAGGTTAATATAACTAGGGTTTGCAATTGTCTACAGAAAACCAAAATGTATTTCCGCACGTGGTTGGTATTTTCTTATCATTTCTTTTAAACGAAATTGGAATTAATTTTTGGTTACGTCTTATTAATGTGTTTCTACTAAAATCAAACTACAGGAATAATTTCATTGATATGCGTTACAACACAAAGGAAAATGTTTAAAATGCCAAAAAGAGGCCCATAGGCCACATCCTTCACCTGCATACTTTGGTTACAGTGAAGTAGAAACCAATTCAGTACTGAAAAGTTTAAATATATTTATGTGGTACCAACTAACCTTCCTTCCCTTGTGGGGATGATTTGAACAAACTTGTTTCCATATACATGTATCAATATCACTAATCATAGCTTTACTGTTCTTGAAAAAAAAGATATTTAAATATTTTTCCCTATATATTCCCATGTAATACTTTGATTGTCTAATGCCTGCAGTTGCCCGTATCTAAAAAAAATATATTTGCACCATTACGGAGATGCAGTGGAATTATAGCCCTCTCCTGAAAATATCAGATATTAAAAAAATCGTAGAGGGCTACAGTATTGCAGCTATAATATGACAATACACAAAAATAAATTTGAACTTACAGAAGCGACTCTATCGAAACGACCCGAATTTTAACCTGTTATATTTTCCGGAAGTGAGTATTGTCAACTCGTACATAAAATTGCAGGGTTTGAAGGTATTAAAAACGCGATATTTTAAGAACTGTATCACTGATTAACTTGAAAATGAATAGGGTTCGTCCTTTTACAATGCCACATAAGTATTAGAATGCTGAGAAATGATAGTGCAAAGGTTCTCTTTAAATCTTGCCCACAAGCTGTAACGGACACACTAACACACTAACACACACACATACGCACAGTAGCGATGCTATATTTCCTCCGCAACTAGTTGCGCGAGGGGATAGTGAATAACCGTAAAATGAAAAAGAAAATCACTGTTTAATAGGCTAATTTCAAGTAAACTTTTTGAAAGGCTCCCAAAAGAATAAACTAGAAAGATTTGATGATTCTGTGTCTCTTTGTATTCAAAATATATAAAAAGACTTTAAACTTAGCAGCCTTAGAGTTCATACATGTATATTAGATCTTTCTGTGATGCACTAGTATTTCCGCTGAAACACCTTGAAGTCCCAAGTGTATCGCCTTATAAGGTTTGATGATCAAAGGCTCCATGTTGTCCAAGATATCAATCTAAAACTTTTTTAAAATGCATAGCTACAAAATACAAAAAGGAACGCCAAATTGACCAAATTTTTGGTTAACATATCCTGAGGTCCCAAAGAACTTTATCTGGCAAGGTTTAGACCCTACATTGGATTGCTTTTAAAATATGTAGGTTAATGAAGCTCTGAACACTGTTCACAAAAAAGAGTTCTAATTCCATGGTAGTTTTATGCATTTAAAATTATCTGCCCTTTGATGTAAAATGGAAATCTACATTAAATAACACTATTCAAAATAGATTAAAATAGTCAAATTCAAATTCTGGGGAACAAGATATCAGATCTAGATAAAGCTTTTGAAAACATTATTTTCATGTGTATTACAAATTAAGTAAACAACAGTGAATTCGGTAAACCAGTACTTCCTTATCCTTGAACAATTTTCCTAGAAAAGTTTGGCTGGTACTTTTTGTTAAAAATAAGCTTGATAAACTCCATATATTCACCTTTATATGTCACCTCTTAGTCATCATTTCGTAAGTTCTATGGTCGATACAATGACCTTGTCAGCAAATACAATCTAGCACCAAGTCGAATGTTGACTGACGGTTTTCATACAAATTGTGTTAGATCATTATTTTTACACTGAATTGTCTACGGATTTTTACATTTGCCCGATCACGACAAGGAGCACACGGCGTGTGTGACTGGTCGACAGGGAATGCTTATTCTTCCATGGCACCTTGTCCAACCTCTGACTTTTTTGGAGGTCCTTGTTTGCTCTGCTCCAAAATTTGTATTATTGCTTCAATGGAGTTTTGATTACTGTTTCCTATCTTCATATTTCATGATATAATTTTCTCAAGGTCCAAACAAAAGTTTCATAAGCATTCAGAGCTTTCTTGACCTATTTTAAACGTGTATATAAACATGTAGTTTTTAAAAACTTGTCATATTTGGTCATTTAAGTGACCTTAAGACCATGTCCTTCAAAAAAGTTTTTTTTGGTTTGTATGTTGTTTAACGTCCCTCTCGAGAATTTTTCACTCATATGGAGACGCCACCACTTGCCGGTGTAGAGCTGCAAATTTTGTCCTATACTCGGCACTTACGGCCATTGAGCAGTGAGGGATCTTTTTCGTGCCAGCACCTACTGCGACACGGGACCTCGGTTTATACGGTCTCATCCGAAGGACCGGTCTCCACGTCCCACAGTGGGATTCGAACCCGCGACGTAAGGATCAACTCCTTACTTCGCGACTCTAGAGCAGACGCTCTAACCACTGCGCCACGCGGGCGACTTCAAAAAGGGTAAAGCCTTGAACAAATTAAAATCTACGGTCTCCTTTTTACGCTTAGTGGTAATCTTCCTCGTGGTCTTTGAGGTTTGTAGAAACTATTACTTTTTAAAATATTTTTTACGTTGATTACTCCTTATTTAAGAACCAGATTCTTTAATTTAAAATAAAAGTTCTTGGTCAAAGAATATTTTGTGAAAAAAAGTGATAAAAATTGACCAAAATATTTTGATACAAGGTACATCTTCAAAAAAGAATTTACATTAACCGCATAGATTATAAAAGCATTATCTCCTTGACCCTTTAATCTGGCTAAGAAGAGCTAATAAACAGGATAAAATATAGCTGCATAACTGTACCTCTCTGGTTGAGAAAATTCGGTCAGACAAAATACAGAGCTACAGATCGAAGCATTGTTAAAACCTTCAGTTTACGCCGCCGCTCTCTTCGGTTATATTTCTTGTGTTATACATGTACCTATATTCGTTCTCTCGCCAAAACGCATGGTATCCGTAAATTAACCAAAAAGTTTACTCAAAATCGTATTACTTTATTTACAAACAACTCTGAGCGGCCTTGAAATGTCAGTGTGTTTTAGATCTTCGATGGCTCGATCTATGGAGGATTTATCCGAGTCGATACCGTAAAACGTACAGTTAGGATACAGTTTGGCTGCCTCTCTTATATGCTGACCACAGCCACAACCAATATCTAACAGAGTAAATTCCGTCCCTAAGTTAAAGATAAGCATTAACATAATATTTTAAGCTTTAAGATTATTTACATAAACATAAATTAAAAAAAGCAATTATTTTAGAAACATACATTTATATTATATTGAATTCATTTTAAACCTTTTTTAAAGCTTAATATAGGAATGAGATGAATTTTGTTCCATTCTTGTAAAAACTTCTGTTGTGCGGTATGTATCCATCCACATGAGAAATGAATCAAAGTACCCGTAACCTGAAACAGAGAGTAAATCACAGGTTCAACCAAGTGCCTGTTACTCTTGCAATTTAAAAAGAGTCACATAAAACATATTTACGTAATATACATGTTTAAGCACATCAAAATTGTTAAAGCTTATGTTTGATTGATTGTTAGTTAATGATTGATTGATTATTTAATTTATTAACTCTAGCTAAACGTCCAAGCGAAATTGCTTATAGATAGCAAAAAATCGAATTTTCTACATTTAAATTCATTGATGTCATGCTCATTTATTTTGATAAGGAACACAATTCAGACGCACAAAGATTACTCTTTTTTGTATGGATTAAGGTCGTGTTGAGGAAATCTAGCTGTCTTCTTTTCGTTGTCAATCAATATGGTATTGAAAGAAGTACATAAGGTAAGAATGGAGAATACGTTGAATGAAATTTTTCCTGATCATGACAAGGAGCACACGGCGGATGTATTTGTATATGAATAGAATCAGTCATCCGAAACTTTTACATATAGAACCAATTCTGCAATGACAGAATGATCACTGAAATCTTAAATGCAGATAGTGCTTACTTTATGAACAATTATAACAAACTTTTTTGCCACTGAAACCGACGGTGGGTGTAACCGGTCGACAGGGGATGTTTTCTCCTCCATGGCACCTGATCCCACCTCTGATGTTTTTAGAGGTCTGTGTTTGCTCTGCTCCCGATTTATATTGATTCAATGGAGTTTCGAGCTTGATTTCTGATCCTTATCTCCATATTTCATTTCATCCGACTGCATACCCGGAACTCATTTCCGACGAGTCGTATTTCTTGTATTTTCTTAGTGATAACATTACTTAGCGTTTATTTGTAATGGATTGACCTGATCATTGATATTACTTTTTTTTCTCCTGACGTGGTATTACTATAATTGCATACATTTGCTAGTTATTGCGACCTAGTAACAATGACGATGCATACACCCTCCCAGGTGAGATCTGTGGCTAAATACTACGAATCGTGATGGTTAGAGGCTCATATATATATATATATATATATATATATATATATATATATATATATATATATATATATATAAGGATCTACCCTTCCTACTTTATGAATTAGTTACTTTTTCTTTCACTAGATACAATAGGGGGGGGGGGGTGTTTCCCGCCCTATTGCACATGCAAGTATTGCCTCATTTCACTTTTTTAAGGATTGTAGTATATGGAAATTTGTATTTCATGTATTAAGACAAATGAAATGAAAATGGACATTTTATTCGATGAATGGAGCTTAGACCCCCTTTACCTCTCCTACACAAACATCTACTTTCAAAATAATACATTTTCCGAAGTAGTTTCAGCCATTTTCTGATTATTAATAGTTGATTTCTGTAACGTTGGAAAACAATGCTTATTTATTGTCAATTGTTCTCTCTCTCTCTCTCTCTCTCTCTCTCTCTCTCTCTCTCTCTCTCTCTCTCTCTCTTACAAACACATAAATGTACACTTTTAATACAAGGCACTATATATATGCGCATCACCTAGTAACTTGTTGTCTTTGCACGGATTTATACAGGTATGAGGTTAGATTTTTTTCATGCTATAAAATGTAACTCTCCTCCAAGTGTACACATCGCACACTAGTATTTACATGTACGTATAATCACTAACGCATGACAAACGTGTTTCCTAATCCGTCTTCGGTATTATGGAGTATTTTCTTCTATTTGTCCGCTTTTAATTACATTGTAAGTGATTATAGAAAATTAGACCGGAGAAATTATCATTCACAAAGTAGTTAAAACACTATGCGTTCTATAATACACATATACTTAATTGTTCCGATTTTTAACTATATATAGGTGCAATAACTGGTCCCTGGAAAACTACCGAGATTTCATCAATTTGTTTTTCTACCAAAAAATCGGAAATAAAAAGAAATTATCAGTGGATTAGACATCAGACGAGGGAAGAGGCATGGACCTCCGATACACGCGCATCTGATCATTGCACGTCGGCATTCTGAATGACACAGCGACTTTTCCCCTTATAATAATTTCGAAAGGTCCATCAACTTTTTAGAAAAGGTTTGTAATCATGGAAGCGTCTTTTTCACAAAGTACTATGAGGGTTCCAGGGTTAGAAACTCCTAAAACTAAAACTCGCAAATAATTGCGAGTACCAAGACTCGCAATTTTATAAGACTACTCGCAACATTCATATAAAAGCCTTTTTAAAATTAAAATTAAATACATGTAACTTAAGGAAAAGGTAACTACTATTCAATACACAAAATACAACTACACTGTGACTTTTATTTAAATTTAACTGCAATATGAGGAATTAAACCTATGGTACTGTATTTATACATCTATTATTATAAAGTGACAAAGTTCTCACAAATTTTATGAGAGAGATTCTCAAATAAGCCATTCACAACTGTTTTTTCTTTCGAGGGTTACATTGAACCCTTTTCCCATCCCTATCATATATTTTAAGATCTCAAATAAAACACATGATCACCATTGTTGATGCTGTTCATTTGTTTTCAGCACCCTCTTGCAACTGCCGTTAAAAAAACTAGCCATGCTGATATTAAAAGAAGGGGGAAATAAAAATGTATAACCAAAAGGAAAACTATAACTAAGAAGGAGGAAGGAAAAAAATCAACACGCAAGTTTTTGCGAGTTACCTACATGTACTTTTGAACTTGCACTTTGGGAATTCTACTTCGCGTTCTTTTGTGAGTTGTATAAAGTGAATTTCAAACCCTAGGTTCTTTTGATAGATAGAATGTTCTATCGTTAAAATGATAAATGTCCTACGGACCCGGTTTAACGATAGAATGCGTTCCGTGTATTGTCAATGTAGCAAAGAAAATACGGGAGATAACTCTAACTCAGTGCATTTACTATGAAAAATCCCGAGAGTTCAGAATGTCAACATGTTGCGTAAATTTGAAACGAGTAAAAAACGTTGGTGAAAAAGTGTTGAATTCTTCCATTATATGGATTAAATTTTTAGATGAAGGTTATTTACAGTCTCAAAAAGGTTTGTTATGATTAATTTGACTGTTATTTTCAATGCAACTTCCTTAATTTTCTCCAAAATCGTTTCGGAGCGATTCTGCAATTTTTTGCTACATTGCGAGTATATGGGTGGTATTCTAACTGTGGTGAGGGTCTGTCCCGAGACACAGTTAGATTATTCTAACTATTCTTTTGATTACAAGTATCCTAATTAAAAGTAGATTTTGCAAAACATGTAAAGTATAGATCAATATAATCATCAAAATCATCACTGTTTGACATTATGTATTCATGTATAATCTTTCCACAACATTAAATACATTTTAAAGCCCTAGCCATCGTCCATTTATTTATGCTCGTTTGTGTACATCGACAACCTGTCCCACTTCCTTGCTGATATGGATACTTTTTGCGCCTCTATCGTTGGAGAGCTACAATCTCGAAACTTGCGTATTGCATGTTCGCCCAGTGTTAATCAGAAAAATGCAAGAGAATTACACGTGTAGACCCAAACCTTGGCATCAATCATCTCTTTTAAACCTTGCATTACTTTGTTGGGTTGGGCGTCATTTTTCCATTTCTTATTGGTTGCATATGCAGAAAACTGACAGCTGCGTTCCATTTTCTTCAAAAAAGTACATTTTTCTACGACTAGACTAGGGGGTCATTTTTCGATGACCACTCGGCCATTTTCCTCGTCCATGGCCGTAGGAACCGCGGGGGGGGGGGGGGGACGGGGGGCGTGACCCCCCAATAATTTTGCCGACATATAGAGTACTATAGTAAAAATAGATACTATATGCTTGTGCCCCCTCAATAAAAACGTCTGATGACCTTTTTTTTTTTTTGCTTGTCAAGGAATTTTTGTTGTTGATAGTGCCCCCTCAATTGAAAAACTGAAAATGTATGGCCGTGCCCCATCCCCCCCCCCCCCAAACTGAAATTGCTTCCTACGGGCCCGTACGAGGTCATTATTCCTCTTTACATCAGCGACAAATATGCACCGATGGATGTCAATATGTGCAGTGAAGGTAGGCTCATATTGTCGCCGACGACAATATGTACAAAACGACAATATGTACCGTTGCAAGTTGTCATTGCTAAAGATGCATGAATTCTTATGATAATGGTAAATTTCTTGTATTGTTAATGCTGTTCTTTGCCATTAGACAGAGTTTTTTTTTTTTTTTTCACTGTGTGAAAAGCGATAAGAATTTATAGATAAGCGTTGTTCATGTACAAACATATACGGTAGATGTAAAATAGGTAGTCCCTCTCTTATCTTTCTATGCATTCTGATATGCGTATTCATAATATGAAGGCATCATGATTCAACAACAGCAATGAAAATCCTTTGAAGAAATTTCAAATATAATGCTGGTGTGAAATGTTTATACGACATTGTTTTATGTTTAATATAAAAAAGTAAAAAACTAAATAAATAAATAAAATGAGTAGTGTAAAAACCAGAGTTCTGGCGCAGATACTTAACATGGAGCTCCACAGTGGAGCTGTGGAGCCAATGACGTCATAAATAACCATGGAAACGAACACACCTTCTTTACTCATGAATGATTTAAAACAATTGGTCATCATCAAAAGAAGAGATCGATAATCCTGTGACATCACTGGGTATTATATCTTGAAACAATAGGTCATAGAATTGATTGTAAAGAATGGAACTAAAGCAATTTTTTAATTTAGAATGGGAAATTCCGCAAGGTCATTGGGTCATTGTTGAAGGCAACAAAAGAAATAATATCGGTGATCAGACGAGACCCTTAAAACGATCAAGTCAATAAAGGGAACGCAAAGGGCCTTTTGTGGTCCCTAATGGGTTTTTCCATGACGTAAAACTCTGTTGTACTATCGATTAATAGTGTATTGAAAATGTGAACAATGGAGGTTTAAAAATGGGACAGTGTTGAATGAGACATTTAAATGGGGCATCAGTCAACCGAAACATTACAGGTAGAAACACGCCTCGATGAACA